GCGAAACTGATCTCTGTGAAACTCGGCGCCCTGCTCTGGAATGTTGACCCACAGACTGCCATGGCGACAGACGGACGAGGTACCCTCGATGGCAAAGCGAATGGTTACAGGATCGGTTGTCTTTGGGGCGAGATAGATGTATTCGCCGGCGACCTGAGGCGAGCCATCGTCGTTGAGGGGGAGGAGGTATACTTCGTTGGATACCATGGTTTTCGGGACCATTTGCGTAGGTTGTAGGAGGCAGCTTTCGTGCCCCGCGGACAGATCGGCGACGTGGGTATCAATGAGGACGAGGACGAGGACCGTAGGACGGGGACTGGAGACGACGGGCAGCAAGCTGTGGCCGTGGACCGTGAACCTTGGGCGTGGATGGGGCCTGTAGACGACCTGGACGTGGGAGAGAGAGCGCACTGGCTTATGCGGAGACGATTCCGGCCAGGAAAAGAATGGGCCGGTTGCTGGGGTCGAGCGAGGGTGAAGACGCAGCTGGATGGAGCGAGTGGCAATTGCAGGTGCAATTGATCGAAAGGCGACAGAGACGGAGGAGGGACGACTCGACAAATGGATGGACAAGCCGTAGGCCTCGAGGATTAATGGTCTCTAGAGGAGGTGGGATAGATGAAGGTGGTAGGAAGAAAAGAAGTTGGGAGAGTGTGTGGGCGAGAAGGAGGAGGAAAAGAAAAGAAAATACACGGCCGAGGACGGTGACGATATGACGGACTGGGCCAGAAAGAGAGACAACACCATCAGCTTAGCCCAGGTACCTGGCCTCACCTTCCCAACATCTCCCAGTCCAGCTGGTCCATCTAAGGCACCTTAATCACATAGTATTACCAGAGTACGGCAGGTAAGATCAGGAAGGGCAAAGTATGGCGGGGTTTCGCCGTGCTCTCTCTTCTCTGCCTTATTTCCTTACCTGGGCTATCCGTACCCGAGTACAGCAAAGCTCACCCAAGAAATTCGGAGCTCAGCAAAGCAGCAAGAGATCCAACGGGAAACCAGGCCAATCCAAGGCACGGAAAGCAAAGCATGGTGCCGGGGGCTGCGGAAGCTCTAGTCAGCGCTGGGTTTCCATGTACTCCGTGTTAGTGCTGAGGTCTTTGCCAGGCCATCTTGGTTCCTTCTCCTGCTTCTCACCAACACAGCTACGAGGAACTGAAGATTGGACGAGATTTATGGTGCATCACCTAATCTTGAGGTATTTGTTCAGCCATGCTTGCAATTGAGGTACCTTTACCAACCTTGTCAACCCAACTCCAGGTTGGCTGCAAGAGCCTCCGTTGTCAGTCACTCGGGCAGCCAAAGGAACGAAGAAAAAGTCTCCAGTGAACAGAGACTCGAAAGACAGGCGGGGGGCGGGGCAACCAAGTAACTCCCCACCAGCAGCATGCGGAGAAGATACATCCATGGATACTAAGGTATTGCCCGCAGCAAACCCGCAAATGTCAAAGCTGCCAAAAAAAATCAAAATTGACGGGCACGGCAAACATGGGAATGTTTGGCAGCGCCCGAACCGGATAGCTTCGGCGGGGACAGCACAGAGGCTCGCACGCTTGGTGGGGTTTCCATGCTGCTCTAGACGCCCTAGCGGAGTTTGGTCTTAGCGCTGCGCCGGTCGTGGGCCGCCATCGCGATCTCTGAGATTCCAGACCACTGTCGACACTGGGAATTCCCACTCTTTGGGTGTTTCTCGGATCGCGATGCAGAGAGACTGGTGTGAGCTGGCCGGTGAGAAGCCTGTCAATGTGCCAGTGCGGCGAGTGTTCCATATCGTGTGTGCAACAAACTTGAGCGGTAACCGGGGGGTTAATGTCGCATGCCGGGGATGGAGACTCGGACTGAGGCTGGGAGAGCATGGCAGGCCACAGGCCGCAGCAAAGATGAGAGACCAGGCCAGGCCCGACCGGGATTATAGAGATGTCCTTATCTTTAGAGTATCATCGTCGTGTCCCAATGGTTTATAATGCCAAAGTTGGTCTCGTCAAGATGGCGTCTCAGATCACCGTAGAATACTGAAGATGTTATTTGCACGGCTTGCGGGCGGTGCCCTGCACTTGGCTTGGCTCGAAGCGTCGGGCTGCCATTGAGGCTCGCTCGTGTTGGGGTGCTGCAAATCCTTTGGACGACCATGATCTGACTCGACAGCTGTGCGATTCTCGGCGCATGCTGCGGTCCACGTCGATATGCACCAACTAAGGTAGGCCCCTAGTATGGTCTGATGCGTCTGCCATGCCATATCTCGTTGAAGACCTTCTTTTTCCTTCTTGATATCTTTTCTTTCCTCACATTTGTTGCAGGCTGAAGAGAAGAGGTGAGAGGCTGGATGGAACCCAAAAAAGACGGATGAAAAAGAAAGAAAAAAAAGAGGCTAGAATCAGAAAGAGCTCCATCCCAGCACCGAACAGAAAGTGACGTCATCAGCTATCCTCCCGCATCAGCTCTAGCGGCTCGCCTTGCTGCACAGACGCGGTTTCATGCCCCTCCTTCCTCTCTCTTTCCCTGGCACTTTCCAAGTTGCCTTGGGTGGCTCCTTGCTCTTTCCGGAAAGATAGCTAGCTCAGCTTCCAACGCACAATCCACGGCAACCACCAGTCCACCACCCCTGGCTGCTTCTTTCCTCCTCCCGTCCTCCTGAGGTGTCAGCAGCCTGTCGCACCTTCCCATTTCCTGGTTTGCCTTCCATTGCTCTCCATGATCAGCAACCAGCGTTCCTCGTACCTGCCTCGTGCCTCGTGTGCCTTGGCCCAATTGACTTTCTGTGCCTGAATATCACCCGTCGCAACGCGACATGGAATTCTTCATTTCCCATTCTTCGCCTCTCGCAAACTACACCTCCATACATGCCAAAGAGTACTTTTTATTTGAGTCCTCCTTTTTCCGAATTTCTTACCCGACTGGTCCACGTTTTCACTCTCCATTAAACTACGGGGCCGACACCGCTTTTTTGCTCCCATGTTTGCTCTTCCCGCCATGACGTACCTCATGCAAGACGCACTTAGTGCTCATCTCTTATATGAGTCTAGCCCTTCTGCCCCCTGTAAGCAAAGATAGCCTCACGCGTTGTTGCATCCACGGAGTAGTTGCAACCTGCGCGAGATAGCCAGGGTGGCTTGACCGGGCTCGTTAACAACGTGGCTGAACAACATCAACGGTGTTCCTCGATGCCGTCTGCCGTGGAACGAAGTGGAGCTATCGTCCGCTCAAATCTTCCCGGCCTCGGTATTCAAGGTAGGCAAGTTCAGCCGTGGATATGTCATATCGAAAACCTCGTCTTCATCTGCATATCCCTTCGACTTGGTGATATCGTGAGTGGCACATCGTGAGAGAAAGATTCTAGAGCTACCAGTTTCAAGGAAGATGCTCATCCATATGGCAAACGGTCTTGTGGTACCTCAGTAGGCCGATGTCATCTCGGGCCATCAGCACTATTCTTGGCGGATGAAGCAGCCTTCAACAAGGGCAGAGTGCTACGTAACGGAGTCTTTCTCTATATCGGTATACAGTATGCAGGCAGCATGTGTGATATATTTGCTGGTAGGCTGAGAGGAAGCACATGTTGAGCATGAGTATAGAAAATGCCAAGAAATGTGATGTATGACCTGTCCAGGAGTCGGCGGCTCTAGAGACCTTTGAACTTCAACTAGAGTGTCACCAGATGGGAGAAAATGTTCTTATCTTCGACATTCCCAGGGTGGATGAGCTGTTGTCACCTCCAAATGAGTCTCTTGAATACCACATGAGATATGGGATCTCTCCGGAGTCTAGTGTATGCGTGGAACCAAATATTGCTGTCCAGGTAATCATGGTCCTCGCATGAGACTTTTTTTTCGATGTTGCGAGTTCGTTCCCATGAGATATTGGCTCAATGCGTTGGCGTTAAAAGAGGAAAGAGTATACGCCCAACGAGGTCAACGCAACGCTCTTCATTACTCCGCCATTGACACTCGCGAACAAATTGGTGACCAAGTGCCTTGAAAGTTTTGATATCACGGACCGAACCGTGGTCGGCAAAAGAGTTCAAGGGAGGTAGACTTCTTCGGGTGTTCAGACGACGTCATCTACATATTGTGACGGACGACACGATCGACAGGGCTCTGAAGACTATACGCATCCCTTGATCCGTCACCAGTCAAGTTATTGGGCGACGTCAATGGTGGGCTTGCTCCTTACAATACCTTATGAATGGAGACCATGCAAGAGTACAACCGCAAAGTACTTGGATGGCGGCAAGTTGTCAGCCTGCCGGAAACGACTTTATTCCATTAAGGATGTAACCTTCATCAGTCCATCCCTAGGTCAGTGCTGTGTAGCCAGAAACATGGGATTAGGTTGATGAGGTTCCTCTCGGGGTCAAATCCGTTATCCCCAAGGGCGAACTTGGGCCACGTCCATCCTTTAACGGCACTTGGAGGCATATGTCAAATGCCTTGGTACCGAGTTTTCAAAGAAGCGCAAGTTGGCTGCTTCTAAGGTCTAGTAGGTTGCTTTCGACCACGTGCATTTTGCCCTGATCATGCATGATGTGCAATCCTAGCCCGCTCTACTTTGGCCTTCTTTCCCCTAGACCTGACTCGAGCCCGGAATCTTTGGGCTGTAGGGAGGCTTTCGTGACATTCGATTCGGTGAAAATTCACGAACTCCAAGTGTGTTGCTCCTTGAACTTGACGCGGCGTAAAATCGAGGCTGGATCTATTCAACTCCAGACACGGAGACTGCTCGATGGCTACTCCAGCGCCATCAGATACGTTGCTCTGCACGTAGATAAAGCCCCCCTCTAAGTATTCTCGTTGTGCGGACCACAATCCCGATCGGAAGTTATCATGAGATTCTCCATTGGTCCCCGAGCTTACTGGGCAGGTTTCAGTTCACCAACCCAGACTCCGGCCATACCATGTAGCAACAGCTTTGAGCGCCCGTTGGACTAGCCTCAGTCCGGGATAAGCTACAGGCAAAGCAGATTCCATGCTGCATGAACGGCTGTATCCCGGGTGTCTATCTGCCAGGGACCACTGTCTGGCAAGCTTCATTAGTAAGTTGGTGTTCCACGGACTAGCAGACTGCCTGCAGCCCCTCGACCTGGTCCCTTTGCTGGATGATGACCTGCGCGTAGGTGGGTGTAGGGTCGCATCCAAGGAGGCTGCCATGGAGACGTGTGGCTTCTCTGCACCAGACTGCATCTGCGAAGAGAGTCTCAGAGACGAGCTTTGGGACAATAAGCATTGTTAACGAGTCGAGCACATGTCAGTGGTCGTGGGGATCATCACTAAGCCGCAGATGCTCGAGAAAGACAACAACGGCAGCACCATGACACTTTCAGGCAAGGCGGCAAAATCAGATGTCCCTCGGGGGAGCAAGGCAATTGAGTTTGGCGACGGCGTAAAGGACTCGCGGCGGCCGGGGTCTGGTGGCGAACGGGATATACCTAGTGAGGTAGACGGGATCTCTGGCGTCTGCCGCGGCGCGGGCCACAACCGCACGCCGCGTTGCCGCGACATCTCGTGCTTGTGCCAATGAGGAAACAGCAGGAAACATTGAAGGAAACCGAGCTTCGTAGATACAAGTTGGTTAATGTTGATGGTTGACCCCCATGCGACGATCGGCATCGTGGGCCGATCCCCGCGGCCGGGATTCAGGCTCGAAAGTGCGACGGGCGAAGAAACGAGAGGGAAAAGCTGCGCTGACATTTGGCATGTGATTCCCCATCTACAGATCCTGACAGGGGAGGATGGGAGTGCCAATGGTGCATTGCATCTAATCTTGGGTCGTTTTTTTTTTTTTTTTGGTTTGGGTTCCCACCAAGAGCCAAGCGGAATCCACTCTGGGACACACGAACATTGGAGTCTGGACATGGGGAGGCGGAGGCGGAGGGGACAATTGATAGGGACGGTGGGGTTGGAAAGCAATTTGTTGACTTTTGATTTTTTGTCTTGTGACAAGCCGAGCTCTGGGCTTGATGGGGAGATTATTCTGGAGACGATGGGGAGTGAAAGATGGAAGTTGACTCGCTACATTACACGTACTTGGCATCTTCACGATACAAACAAACCGTGCAAATGTCAAGTCCACGGGTCAGGCCCCGACTTGCCTCGGCCAGGTCCGGAGGAGGCGGAGTGTCCGGCCGAGGCACCCCGGGGGGCAGGAACATTCGTCCGCCCGGGCCAACTCAGCTCGGTCCTGCCTGCCCAAGAAGTTTGAATGGACAATCCAAAAGAAAAAAAAACATAGGGAAGGGGCCCGCCGACTCGGCCTCAACCCCCTGGCATTTCGTTGAGCGACTATACCCGGTTGGGAAAGCGGTCACGACGTCTGCCGCGACCCTGCTGGTCTGGAGGTGCGTCATGCTGGTTCTCAACACTGCCTCTGGGCAGGAACACCCCGGCATCGTAGCGGATTTTGACTTCGATTGGTCGCAGCTTCCCTCACAGGACGGGAATGGAACTGGGGTTAAGGTACTTGCGGCGGTAGGTGTGGTGGTGGTGGTGCAGGCAGGAGCGAACAGATACCTACCAAAATGCAACTGGACAGCATTGAGGGCGGTGGGCGTTGGTGGATTCCCGGAAAGATTCAAAGACACTGAGCAGGACAATCTGACCGGGATAGCTGGAGACAGACAGGGGGAGGAAAGATGGAGGGGCAAAACCACATGCTGAGGAGCTGCACCCTTTTTTTTTCTGCCATCTGCTGCTCGCTGCTAATCAACTGCTGCCGCGCTTCTATTCGTGACCGAGTGATGCCCAGGACCCGTGAACCAAGACAAGACACGACACACACCGAAAGAAGAGCCGATACCGACACCTGTCTGGACCCTCCCTTACCGTAGCTGTCTTACCTGAACTTCCCGGCTTTACCCTTCCTTGACCAACCTTACCATACCTTACCCTTGGGCTTTGCTCCGTACCTTACGGATACTTCCTCCAGGTCCCGGCCAGTACATAATAAGATAACCTTCACCCCCTCCTTTTTGGCGCGTTTTCCTACCTTGCCCTCTTGCTCCACTGTACCTCATGCTTTTCAGACTGCGTCCTGTTGTTTCCATCGCCAGAAGCAGCTTTCCCCTACGACGATTCAACTCAGCATCCGCATCCACAATGGCTTCCCTCGGCGTAGAGAAGAAACACAAGGTGACCGTCGTGGGATCCGGTAACTGGTGAGCACCTCTCATACACACCCAATATCTCATATCGCAATTCCCATCTGGAGCTTCCTTTTCGTCTGCAGAACGAGCCAGATGGCCAGACAACAAACACTAACATGACCCAGGGGCTCCACCATTTCCAAGATCGTCGCCGAAAACACAAAGGCCTTCCCCGACCTCTTCGAAGAGGATGTGCACATGTGGGTGTACGAGGAAGACGTCACTCTCGACTCGACGTCCCCTTACTACGATGCCTCCCTCGGCGAGAAGCCCCAAAAGTTGACCACCGTCATCAACAAATACCACGAAAACACAAAATACCTGCCCGGTATCAAGCTCCCCCACAACATCATCGCGAATCCCTCCCTGCAGGATGCCGTCAGGGACTCCACCATCCTCATCTTCAACCTCCCCCACCAGTTTATCGGCAATGTCTGCAAGCAGCTCAACGGCCACATCCTGCCCTTTGCTCGCGGTATCTCCTGCATCAAGGGTGTCAATGTCTCCGATGACGGTGTCTCCCTCTTCTCCGAGTGGATTGGCGACGGTCTCGGCATCTACTGCGGCGCCCTCTCCGGCGCCAACATTGCCTCCGAAATCGCCGCCGAGAAGTGGTCCGAGACCACCGTCGCCTACGACCCCCCGCCCATGGACAACTCGCGCGCCCCGACCCCGCGTGCCACCTCCCCGAACCCCAACGCCAACGGCAACGGCCTCGCGCCCCTGACACCCGTCGACATGCAGCACAAGGATGCCCGCGGCCGCACCTCCAAGACGAAGCTCACCGCCGTGCCCGCCGAGTACCCGCCCCTGGACCACCAGATCTTCAAGCACCTCTTCCACCGCCCCTACTTCCACGTTCGCATGGTCTCCGATGTCGCCGGCGTCTCCCTGGGCGGCGCCCTGAAGAACATTGTCGCGCTGGCTGCAGGCTTCGTCGACGGCCGCGGCTGGGGTGACAACGCCAAGGCCGCCATCATGCGCGTGGGTCTGCTGGAGATGGTCAACTTTGGAAAGGAGTTCTTTGGCCAGACGGTGCACACGGGGACGTTTACCGAGGAGTCGGCTGGCGTGGCGGATCTGATTACCTCGTGCAGCGGTGGCAGAAACTTCAAGTGCGCCAAGATGGCTGTGGCTGAGGGCTTGAGCGTGCAAGAGATTGAGAAGCGCGAGTTGAACGGTCAGCTGCTCCAGGGCACAAGCACGGCGCAGGAGGTCAACAGCTTTTTGAAGGCGAGGGGCCAGGAGAAGCATTACCCTCTCTTCACTGCCGTGCACGGTATTCTCGAGGGACGGTACAGCGTCGACGATATCCCGACCTTGGTGTCTACGTCTGAGAACTGAGGTCTAGGTGGGGGGAGTTTGAATATCAAAAAGGGCGTGGATAATACAGAACATTATTGATCGTGGCAGAATGAGGTCCGGCGGCACACCGATGCGGTGGCCATGGGTGGAGGGGCCGGGACGGAGTCTTGGGTTTTTGGCTTTTGAAAGACGTATGTTGATATCCCTGGATCATTTACCGCAGTGGCATGGTGTGAAGGAAACGGATTTAGACAGGTTTAAGCAATGACGCACATTGTTCTGGTCAATCTTGCTGATCCGTATATTCATCCCATCTACAACGTATACCACACGTGAATCCCATATACACCCCCTCAACTCCATCCCTGTCAGCAGCACAGCAGGCGCCTTCCTAGGTCGGTTGGTCAGGTCAAACTGGCTAGCTGGTGAAGTGGTTAATGGTCAACAATTAAATTCTACGCCAACTAGCCTACTCGACGACAGGCTCCGAGTTCGAGTTCGAATCCCAGCATGAGCACCAAGAGATGTAGCCACACCGTTGGTGAACTCTTTTTGCCCACATGTCCAATTGGTTACATCGCCCTAGTACCCCCTTCTCGTTGTCTGACTGAGTAAATAACGCTGGGCCAAGGTTTTCTGTGTATATCCCTTTGCTATCCTCAAGCCCACATTCTCAGTCCATGTTCTCAAGTAATCCCATCTTCTCCTCATCGACACCAGCACCCCGCCCCCTCCACGACAGCCTCCTAGCCCACCTCTTCTTTTCCCCGTCATCACCGTCCCCATCCTCCTCCTGCGTCCTTTCCCCATCCCCAAAAACAGGCCTCAAGACAGCATCATATACCATCCAAAGCAAATTAAACACCACCCCCAACGTAACGCCCAACCAGACAGGTACTTTCCCCTCCTTATTTGCCACCTTCTTGTTCAGCGCAAAGAACACCAACAAAACGGGGAGGAAGAGCGCCTTCAGCAGCCACTGCGCGAGTTTCTGCCGACGCGAGGTGGGCGTGTAGGGCACGAGGGAGTTCAGCCAGCGCTGGTAGTCGTCGGGGAGCTCGTGCTCTGCCGCGCCGGAGGTGATGAGGTTGAGGTAGCGGGGGGAGGGTTGCGCGTAAGCTGGGTCGGGACGGCGGGTTGGGCGGAGGAAACGGTAGTACCATTTTTTGCGGGGGTCTGTTGGGGGTGTTGGTGTGTCGTCGTCGTCGTCGTCGTTGTTGTAGTTGGAAGAGGAGGTGGTGTCAGGTTCCTCTGGTTCGGCATCCGGGATGGACGGGGAGAAGAGGGTGTGCGCGAAGAACGGGCGCGGGATATCGATGGGCGGCTTCTCGGGGACGGAAACGCGGGGCGGGAGCGGGATGCAGGGGGTGAGGATGTCCTTGTAGGAAGAGCCGCCTCCTTCTGTTGCGACGATTGTGGCGTAGTCTTGGGGTGTTACTTCGTAGACTACGCCAAAGAGGCCTTTGTCCCAGCCCAGGTCTGGTGTTGTCGGTATCGTGCTCGTACCCTTGTTCGTCTGCTCCGACTCGGCTGGAGGCGGTAGGGGCGGCACAGGCGGGAACTTTGGTGGATCGCTCGGGTCCGGGAGTTTGGGGATCTTTCGGGGCGCCGAGTTGGCGAAGCAGGGTTCCGTGTAGGGGAGGCCGGGGAGGTCGAAGACGAGGGATAGACCGGGCGCGGAGACGTTTACTTGGGAGAGTGGGCGGATGCCGCGGGCGCCGAGGAAGGTTTCTGCGCTTAGGTTGGAGCCATAGGCTAGATAGAGGACGGATTGCTGTTCTGCTGCGGCGGCGGATGATGATGCATCGTCGGTTGCTGCTGCTGCGAGGCGGGAGGGGGATGTGCGCGGGATGCTCTTGATGGAAGGGTATGATTTCTTGGAGGGGCCGGAGGCGGTTGAGAGGGTGACGAGGTCTTTGAGGCGGCGGAGGAGGCAGATAGGTTCCTGGGGGAGAGGTGTTGTCATATTTTCCCGTGCTTTTACGTCGTTGCGACGGATCGAGGGAGATGAGGTTGTCGGAGACGAAGCTCGGTCGGTCGTTTTGTATGCTGAGTGCTTGAGCTGGTGTGGATCAGGCGTTCTTGTAAGGGGACGAGCTCGAGCTCAAACTTGAGATAAGATGGGTAGCGAGACTGATAAAGCTGGGATGATGCCAGAAAGTCCGAGGGGTGATGAAAGATGGGATGTTGTGTGAAGCGGGAAGGGAAATGCTGAAACTGGTGAGCTCCGAGGTGCTGGTGGGACGGGGTGGTGGGAGCGGGAGACCTTTTGTGTCCAGTGTCTCTGACGTTTGGACTTTGAATTTGGATGACGACGCTTTGGGGGATAGGTTCCCGGCCTACCTTATCTTTAGCGTCAACGAGCGTTGGCTGCGGGCGCGCGCCGAGGGGAGCGGCGGACGGAGAATGCGCGCGCGTCGGAGTTCAACGGTGAGCTTATGTAAACTTGGGCGGCGGGCTGCGGGATTGGTGGGGGTGAGTTGCGGAGGGCGTTAGACTAGGGAATTTGGAGGGAACAAGCACAAGATCTTCAATTACACATTGATGAGCTTTGAAGCTATTTTATCAAGCTAGGTACACGTAGCATACGCTGTTTTCAAGGTGTCGAATCCCCCCTTTTCGAACCTGGAAAGGACTCTAGTGATCTAAGTCCAACCCATTCTGCAGATAATGGCCAGGAGAAAGAATGTCAAGTTGCTTCCTCCTCCTTACTTTATACGTCAACGATACTCCATTCTTTGTATACCTATCATGATCAACTTCTACTAAACAATCTTGTATCAATTGCGAACAACCCTACAAATGTGAAGACTTGGTCTCGACACGACTCTTTTAATTCTTTTTTTTTTATTCCTTGAAATGAAGTATGGCTATCTGATGATCGTGAATACAAACCATCATCGATCCCGCCCGATCTCGTGATTGCGCTCGCTTGCTGAATTGATATCATGACTTGGCGATCGCTGTTTAGAACTTTCTCTCATGGTCAAGAAGGTTCCGAAAGTCCGTGACGAGCATCATCTCGTTGCCTTCATCATCATCACCCCCCTCGACTTTGATCTGATCCACGGCATTCCCATCGCCGTCCTTGGTCGCAGCCGCAGTCACAACCCCATTACCGTTACCGTGAACTTTACTGTGATCGCCATCCCCCTCGCCAAGCTCGTCCTCGCCCTCAAACGCCCGCGACACGGAAGCATACTTCTTCGGCACGAGGTACCTATCCATAGCGCCGGCCTGCCCATTGACATTTTTCTTGGGAGTAGTGCCTTTTTCAAAATAGAACCTCTGAATCACATGTTGCGGGATGTTGGATTCCGGTTCCCAGGTTGGATTCATGGATGAGGGCCAGTTTCCCTTCCACCGAACTTGGAAGAAGCGGCCTAGTTTCTTGCCGCTGCGGCGGGAAACGCGGTCTTCGAAGCCTTCTATGCGGAGGACTTCGTAGACTTGTTCGTCTTCGTCTTCTTCTTCTTCGTCTGCTGCTGCTGTTGTCGCGGTTGCGGTTGAGCTTGGTGGGTGCTTGCCGCCGGTTTTACGCGCGGCGTGAAATTTGGTTGTGGTGGGAGGGTTGGACTTTATGGCTGCGCTTTTGCTGCCTGTTGTTGTTGCGGGGGGAGCTGAGGAGGTTTGCGGTAGGAGTGATTGTTGTGGTTCTTGTGGCTTTGGTGTATCACGAGGTCTTGGGATTGGTATCTTTGGGATTGGTATGGGCGTCGTGGAGGAGGGTCGCTCTATCGACTGGACAGGCTGTGAGGGCGTAAGGTTAGAGTACGAAGAGGTCTTTGAGCCCGCGAGAGAGACTGTCCAGGGGGTCGTATTTTGTATTAGGGGCTTGAAGCCCGGTTTCGGTATTGGAGCGTTCGTACCTATACCGTTCTGTGTCGGGTTCAACGCCGGGGGCGCCGTCGCTGGCGATGGGAGCATACTGCTGGCTTTTGGTGTAGGTGTTTGCACTTTGGGCGATGATGATTGCTGGGGCGTGGAAGGAGGATCTCGTATTGAGAGGAGGGACCGCTTCGGCGGTTGCTGTGTCTTTGTTGTCCGTGGGGCTGTGGGCGTGGATGTGTGGTTCGCAGAGGCCGGGGGTATCGGCGGGAAGATGGGCGTTTCCCGCGGCCGGGCGGTAGTGCTTTGGGGATCTGGTGCTTGCGGTCGTGGTAACGGCGGCAGTGCTGGTGAGCTTGTGGCTCCTCTGGACGAGTCAAATGGGGTGCTCCGGCTACTAGTGTCCGTCTCGATTCCCGGCATAAACCGCGAGAGCGCCGGTCTCGGTGACCGCGTCCTCTGTTTCTTGCTCGGGGGTTCTAGACCCGCGGGTAGACTGCTCTGTTCGCCAGAGTCATATGAGTCCTCCGTCAGGAGCAAAGGTGTCGTTGTCCCGGTGCCGTTGAGTTGCCGGAAAATGGCCTCATCGTCGGCCGTATCATCCATCTCGACGTCCACGTCCACATCCCCTTCCGTATCTAGCTCCCTGAAGTCGTCCGCCAAGGCAGTCTTGGATGGTGTAGAGAGCGAGGGCGCGTTCTTCCTCGGCCGTCCCCGTTTCTTCTTCTGTCCGTCCGCGGCGGTGGCGGGTTCTGGTGTCCTCAACTCTTCCGCCACGATTTGCTTCCTCTTCCGGCCCCTCTTTGCCCCTTTTGCACCCTTCTCGCCCGGTGCTGCGACACTCTTTTCCCTGGACACAGCCTCCTCAACAGCGCGCACATTCTCCGCTTCCTCCAACCTACGCTCCTCCTCGTCCCGCTCCTCGGCTTTTGCAGCGCACCACTCCTCGTACGCCATGGGCGAGACGTAGTCGCATATCTGCTCAGCGTCGACGACGAGCCGCGCGGCCGGCAGATCCGTCCATCCCACAACGTACTGAAGACGCTTCTTACCGTCGTCAGAGAGCGCAGGCGGGACGAAGAACTCGTCGCGGATGTAGGCTGTTGAGTCGCGGGGAGGAGCGAGGGTTATCGGGCGCAGTGGGGGGCCAGTGCCGGGTTTGTAGCGGCGGTAGGTCGATAGGTCTTCGAGGACCACGGCGAGTTTGCGCGGTTCGGGATCGGGGTTCTTTCGGGGCGGCTGCGGCTGCCGGGTTGAAAGTGAGGATGTGGTGGTGGTGTCGTTGGACGTGTTGGTTGTGACGGCGCCGTTTCTGGGACCGGCCGGGGTGGGGGGTTTACCACCGAACCAGACAACTGTCTTCAAAGGTCGCGACATGGTTTCTTACTCCTTTCGGAGAAGTCACCATGCCACGCCTGACAACCTTTTGTGATATTGTTCGGGGAAATGTTGCCGCGGTGTGGTCCGAGAAAGGCTTCGGAAGGAACGTCGGTCGTCTAACTATAGCTTTGGGAATTGGCGTTCGTGTTCGTCTCGTGTCGTGTCGCGATTCGGTAAAGACAAGGCTTTCGTTCTCAACAGCGCCGCAGGCTAGAGACGTCAGAAAAATTCGGCACCAATTGAAGAATGTCATTCATGTCATAAAATTTCGTACCTTATTTTTGCGCGTGTTTCCGCCGATGCGTATGCTGTCTTTCGTGATTGCGGCGCCGGTTGGGACGGAGGAAGGAAACTTAGAAACCTTAGTTCTTTAATTAGCTTTCTCTCCACCAGCACAGCGACTTCAAATATCAAAACTTATCACCTTAAACGCAATTAGCAGCAGCTTATCTTGATACACTTGATCATATTTAAATTACTAATTTAAATAATAGAAAGTGCAATTTAGTAAAGCTTTTAATATTAAAACTTTTTAGTCTGTTATAATTAAACTTAGCTCTATAACTTTTACTTTCTAAAGTAGTATATCTTAAATACCATACTCACCTCATATATATAAGATATCACTTTATAAGATGCTTTATACTTGCCTACTTTTTAGGAGTCCTTGTGCTGTATTACATAAGGCATCGAGTACCCTTGGCCCTTGAGATCATGCGATCCGGGGAAGCAGGGGCTGCAGTTAGGCCCGTGCAGAAGCTGCGGCTGGGCGTCTACCGGCGCAGGGCGTCAAATCTTTGGTGGGCCGAGCTTGACCTCATCGCGAGGAGCAGAAGCTCCATCCACCTCATCCCAGCTTCCAATCCCCATTTTCTTCCTTCGCAAAACCGAAGCAAATCACTGAAAGAGAATCTCCCCTCCACCCGCGCACCACAACGTTGATGCCCACAACCTCCCGACACAATTGAGACTTTTCGCCAAGGCCTCGCAAACATGCTGACGCCCACGAGCACCTTCGCCCTCCGCCTCGCCGGCCAGGGCGCCGCCCGCGCATCGATTGCCTCTTCCATCGCTCGCACCACCGCATGCCCGTACTCCACCGCCTCCATGAAGCAGCACCAGCCCGCGACCGCCCGCCCAATTGGCCTCGCATCGACAGCTGGTCCGATCGCCCGAGCCAGCGCCGCCTTCGCCGCGTCCCCTTCGTCCTCCATCGTCGCCCACGTCGTCCGCCAACCCTGCTCCCAGCGCTGCAACGCTACCGCTGCCGCCTCCTCCGCCGCGGCGCAACAAAAGTCCGCTCCTGCGCCGGGGGACAGGCTGGACTGGGAGACCTTTTTCCAGCTGCGCAAGTCCCGTAGAAGGTGGCAGCTTGGCTTCAGCGTCATTTCTGGATTGGGATCCTTTGTTGGTGGTGCTGGCATCTTGGCTACTGGCATTGCGGACCCGCTGGTTACACAGATTCCTCTGGATCCTTTCATTACGATGGGTCTTATGACGATGGGATTCGGTGCTCTTGGATGGCTTATTGGACCTAGCGTTGGCTCCTTGGTGTTCTACACGCTGAACAAGAGGTGGAAGACTCAGATGACGGTGGTAAGTGAACCCTGCTGCGTTTTTGAGGGATAAAGCTTTTTGCTAACGTGAGTTATGCTGCAGAAGGAGAAGGAATTCTTTGCCCGCATCAAGAAGAACCGTGTTGACCCGTCTGTCTCCTCTGTTGGTAATCCTGGTAAGTACACTTTTCAGAAACACGTCCAGCTCCCATGTGCTAATCTCTACCAGTCCCCGACTTCTACGGCGAAAAAATCTCAAGTGTCAAGGGCTATCGCCAATGGCTCAAGGACCAGCGAGCATTCAACAAGAAGCGTGTCAGCTTCGTGTAGAGTACCACTCCCAACGACCACCCACCACGGCTCTCTCTGCCTGGGACAGTTTCTTTAGGTTTAATCAGGATCATGGCTAGCGGGCGAAGGCCGCCCTCCTCTCTTTGTAGCAATAGGGGTATCGCGTAGGAAAAGTATGTATCATGACGACACAGCCCCCCTCGTCAGAACAAATTCAACTTTTTTATATCCAACCTCTCCTGTCGTCGCCCGCCCCGTCTCGCATCGCAGATCTCACGTAAAAGGCAGCGTGGGGTCCACGTCTTTCTTCCAAGCCCGCATACCTCCCTCAATGTCGCCGATGAATCTTTCCCCATTATTATTCGACGCCAGATCTTTCAGACGCCTCGTCGCAAGTTGTGAGTCGTTGCCGACTCTACAAACAAGGTAAATGGGCGAATCCTCTGGGAAGTCCAGTGGCAGCCACTCAGGGTGAGGCTTGACCCCCTCGCTTGACGGCTGCGTCTCCTTCATGAACCTTGCAATCGGTACGCTCACAGCGCCGTCGATGCTACAAATGTCAAAGTTTTCGCGCTCTCGCACATCCAGCAGAAGATGTCGGCCACCCTTCTCCTTGGCTACACGCTCGTACTCGGTCGCAGAAATGCGCTCTTCGGGCCCTAGAACATTGACCGGCGCGGTAACACCGCAGAACGACACATAGTCAAGTGATCCCGATCGCAAAGTCTCAAGAGACAGCGTCGACGTCGCAGAGCAAGCGAAGCAATCCTTCCTCCGGCCCCTCATACGGACAGACCTAAACTGCCCAGACGGCGCCGCGCCCGAAAAGATGAGAAGCGAAGGCGCAGCCGCAGTCGCACTTTTATCTGTCATATCCGGATCGACAGCGCCCGCGGCAACGAGCTTAATCGCCTCAAGAGCCTGCAGCACGCCCATGACGCCGACGACGGGCCCGAGGATGCCGCCTTCGCCGCAGCTGACCACACTGTCGGGGGGCGGCGGCTTGGGGAACACGCAGCGGTAGCACGGTCCGCCGCCGCCATCCAGAGTGCTGCCCTGCGGCGTGGCCGGCGAGTTGAGGATGATGAGCTGGCCGTCTGTGCGGAAGGCCGAGGCGGAGACGAGGGGTTTCTGGAGGAGGACGCAAATGTCGGAGATGAGGTAGCGGGAGGTCGGGTGATCTGTGCAGTCGAGGACGAGGTCGTATTGTGATACGATTTCTTCGGCGTTGGTCGGTGTTAAGTGTGTTTTGTGTGCGTGGTATGTTACTAGCGGGTTGAGGCTGGGGATGTGTGAGCTGGAGATGTGGGCTAGATGGAGGAGGGTTTACGTTACCCCCTTAGGTATGTGATTGCGCTTTCGACCTTTGAGATGCCGACTCTGTCGGTTGAGTGAGCGACTTGGCGGTGGAGGTTGGAGACTTCGACAACGTCGCCGTCGACGAGGCCGATGGTGCCGGCCCCTGCTCCGGCGATGTAGGCCGCTGCGGGGCATCCCAGGCCCCCGGCACCGATGATGAGAATCTTTGACTTTTTCAGTCTTAGTTGACCTGCGGGTTTCGTTTAGCAAAGGTCTCAAAGCCAATGTGTTATTTGTTGGAAGCTCGCCTTTGATGCCTACTTGAGGGATGATAAGTTGTCGCCCATATCTCTCATAATCCTCGGGTTGCAGGGGCCATTTCCAGGGTTGAGCTGATGCTGATGCTGAAGTTTGCTCCTCCTGTGCCTCTTTTTCTGCGCTGGCTAGCTGCTCCTTGAGGTTTTGGAGGTCCAGCTCCGCTTCTGCGACTTTGCGCCGCAGCTCTTCGACTTTGCTCATTTTGTCGTGTGACGTGCGGTGTAAGTGAGCATCGATGACTCCCGAGCGCGGAAATTGTCTGGGCTCTGGTGCATGTCGGAGGTTCCGCCCCCGATCTCCGACCCCGCGATTTCAGAGGGCCCACACGCCTCTCTTTTCGGCCCCACCACGAATTTTTGATGGAAGCTTGGGGCGTCCTCAAACTCTACCGGCCAGTTGCATCCGACTTTGAACTCGAATCCATTCAATCTACAACTCCTCAGAGCCGCCCACACTTCCACACAGTCAAAATGGTAATGAAATCCCTCCATCATCCTTCATCCCTCTGAAATACCAAAAGCTAACGCCTCGCAAGGCACCCACAGCACCAACAACCTCCCTCTCGGCCCGCGAAAAGCGCATGGCCCGCATCCGCGGCGACATCCACCCCCTCGCACCGCACAAGACCCTCCGCCCCGAAGCCCAAGTCGACGACGGCTTCCTCACCAACAAAAAGGACAAGCGAACGATGAAACACAGCGCCTTTCTCAGCAAAGTCGCCAAAACCGCCCCCGGCAGCGGCAAGACGCTCAAGCGCCGGAGGCCGAACAAGAAGCTCGTCGCGACCATGGAGTCGCTCGCTGACGCGCTGCCGGACTTGGACGAGGGCGCGCAGACGCTGGAGCAGTTGCGCGAAGGGAAAGTCAGGCATAAGAGTTTGAAGAGTAGGCCTGGTGCGCTGAAGAGGAAAGAGAAGGTTGTTAAGGCTGAGGTGGCGAGGTTTGGGGCTAGCATGGCGGCTTTGGCTTCGCTGCCTGGTGCGAATGCTAGCGCGGCGCCTGCGGGTGATTCTGGTGCGATGGCGGTTGAGGGGGCGGGGGTGCAGGAGACGACGACGACGACGACGAATGCGACTTCGAATCGGTGGGCGGCGTTGCGGAGACACATTTCGAGCACGATGGAGCAGAACCCTGCTTTCAGCACATAAGATTCAATGGTGGTACATACGCTACTACGAACGGCAGAGAGGGATACCCGACGGATTTGGTCGAAACGGCAACTTGGAGCACAGCGCGCCAAAGGCATGATATCTTCACCGACGGAAGGTGGCGTCTCCGTGTTCTCTGACGAGTTCTTCACTCTTGCGGCTTGGGCCTATGTTCAGATGGGATTCTTCCGTGGGACTATCAATGTTGGGATCGTCGTCTCTGATCGCAAAGGACATTCCGTGACGCGCAAGAACTTCTCGGGCTCGCTTTTCCCCTGGATGAATCCTCTAGAATCGAAGCTCTCAGCCACAGATGCGCTCGAATTCGCCAAATATGTCGATAGCAGCGACAGGTTTATCTCGGGGGTTCTTAGAGTTGCCGGAATCTGGATGGCTCTACATCGTGCAAACCCGAGTCAAGTATACGCATACTAGTGGAGAGGGTCCACGGAACTGATGCTGGACTTGAGCTCCAGTTGGTCCAATGCTACGATGTTCAGGCTGCAAAAAGGGGTCAACATGAGAGCGTTTTGAGGGACACCATATCAGCGTCAACCCGGCCGAGGAGGACCAGCTGAATAGTCAAAAGTTGATGGACCCCTTGTGCTCCTTATTAATGGGGATTGTGTCTACAACAAAAGAATATCAAATTGATTTGATTTGACGTGGTTTTTGTACTCGTTTCGCGAATGACATAACAAGAAGATTTCGTTTGCCATTCATTGCATTATTTATTCTAGCAGGGATAGTGGTCTAGCGTTTCAAGGGTAATAAATCAGCAAATATTTTTGACGGCGATCTTGTGAGCCGACGTCATTTTGTCCAGCCTGAAGGGTGCAAACGCGTCGCAATAAGGTAATCTGTACGGCAAAAGGAAAAGAAAGTAGTCAAACAAATCGTCAGGCCAGTCCAGGTTGACTGTTGCATGGTTTGATGAGCTGGCTTTCTCCAACGGTCTGGAGTGGCCCATGGACAGCATTTGTGGATATCTTGGCACGGTTTGACGAAGGGGTGATGTCAGCTAAGGTCCGGGCATGGGGGCTGAAGACGACACCATCGCCAATCAGCTGTCGCTCAAGCGCATAACTTGCCTCATATGCACAAGACTCTAGCAGTCTGGAGAGCGTATCTGTGAAATTCTTCATGGTCTCGAGTTGAGGTAGGTGCGGCCTTGCATCGTCATACTATGCGGCCGGCAACAGCGTTCTACAGGAGGGAAAGGCTCGTTTGCCTAGAACCAACGTCACTTGGGGAACTTGAAAGGAACTGTGCAGCTGAGCAGGCAACAACTGCACCTTTTTATTCTTGAACCGCTCCTTCCCACTAAGTGTGTACTTCATGCAGTTGATATAAACCTCTATAAAACTCTCGTCGTCTCTTCATTCTCGGATCTATTCCCCCATCATCCACAAACGGCCATTTCCCATCTTTCAACTTTCAACTCCACATCACCACCACTTACACAAGTTTCAACCCAAAACTGACAACATGGCCGACACCAACCCCGGAAACTTTGCCAACCGGTACGACTTCCGATGCAATAGAAAGGCCATGATCTATCTTTGACTGATTGCTGACCGAATAAAGTCCCACTGAGGAGGTTCGCGAGATCGCTGCCAAGGGCGGTCATGCCAGCCACGGCGGCGGCATCCCGCAGGAAGTACCAAGCGGCAACACGAACCCTGGTAACTTTGCGAACCGGTATGTTCTTTCTTCCATGAGACATTCGTCTTTGGGTATCAGACATTTGACAATCTTTGACAGACCCACGGAGGAGGTTCGTGAAATTGCGGCCAAGGGAGGTCACGCCAGCCATGGCGGCGGAATCGAGGCCGAGACCCACTCGGGCACCGGCAACACCAACCCCAGCAACTTTGCCAACCGGTAAGCTGGCTTCACATGCCCTCCTATTTCCTTTTAATGTCCCGGCACCCGGCATTCGGCTCCTTTCCACTTCAAGCTTAATTCAATCTTTGCCTTGCATGTGAATCTCTCGTCTATGATCATCACTAACACTATCGCAGACCCAAGGAAGAGGTTCAAGAGATCGCAGCCAAGGGCGGGCAGGCAAGCCACACCGGGGGCTTCGCCAGCATGGATGCCGACAAGCTGCGCGAGGTTGCTTCCGAGGGCGGCAAGGCATCGTCCGGCTCGTTTGAGCCCGGCTCTGAGAAGGCGCGCGAGGCGGGACGCAAGGGCGGTCTCGCGGGTGGATCAGACTGAGATGTTTGTTATCGCACGGTCGTACCCAGTACCATGATGTCTTCAGCGTAACAGCACGAAGACTCTGAGCGCAGCAAGTCTGCCGTGCCACTGGACCATAGGACGAAGCACAGCTGTACGATATCCGGAACGCAAGAGGATGGACATGAGACATGATTGATGGGCAAAAAAGATAGGACTGTCTCTACGACAGGGTCCCCCCAACGAAATACCACAATTGAGATTCTAGGATTCTAGACTTCTGACCAAAGACGTTGCTATGTTACCATTGCATTGCCCTGTCAGGCGTTTCGTCCCACTTCCGGGCCGTGAGCGGATAGCTCCGAGGTTTTGCGTGCTTTCGTCGCCTCCCTTTGCTCTCATCTCGGACCCCCCGCCCAATCCCCCGGACCGTTCAATTAGGTGGCAGGATAATAGGTACTGCAAAAAACGCACCATTTCCAAAGTCAATTGTTCCGCGACCCCCCTCGGCACCTCTCATCAAGAGTGAACCTACCTAACTTGTTCCGAATTGAGTGTGCTGTGACTGGGCGCAGTTGAGATACATTGAATGCTCCTTTCCCGAACTGAATCGACCCTTTTCTTCGTTCTCCAGCGGCACCCCCATGTCTATCCATGATCCGCCAGCCCTGCGAGTGGGTTGGTCGGGCTGCTGGATAACTTTGGCGCTCTGGGGGCAAGCCACGTTCGGAAGACGCCGATGCAGGTGACGAGCGTTTTCCCTTGCCTATTCGGCTATTCCCCGCCTGCCGTCCATTTGAATTTTTTATCATTCTACCGCGGAGGAAGGGTCCGGACTCAGCTGTACCGTTGTGGGACTAGGCTCCATCACCGATGCCGCGAACGTTTTCGTGTGACTCTATTCTTGTGGCGGTTAACCTGCGTACGTGCTTTTACTCATGGCTAGGTGAAGTATCAAGCGCCGTCCCTACTCCTAGATGGGCATGGTCTGGTACGATTGATGCCATTGGACTTTTCCTTTTCGTCCCAAAAGGGGTTGCGGCGGAAAGTGCGCCAGGTGGGTGGTATCGCACATTCGCAGGGCCCTGGTACGGCCATCGTGATGCCGCAGCACGGTGACGTAGACGAGGTGAAACTTGGTGTGCTTTTCCTTTTCTCTTACTTGTTTGCCTGTGTCTTTTGAGTCTTGAATGCCTCACTTTTCATTGAGGCCACGAGGAGAAATAGAGATGGCCATACACTCACTCTCTTGCTCGAATTCGAGTGCTCTCATCCTGCGATCCATTACTGTTCCTCTGAAGATCAAGAGAGAGTGAGGGGAAAGAGGGAGGGTCTGTAAGTGAGACTTGACTGTGAGAGAAGGTTTTTTTCTGTTAGAGGCTTAGCCATGGGCTCCCACCCCCTCCGCCTTCTCCAGTTCCCCAATGGCGACTCCTACTCCCTTCACCGTCTCGGTTCATTTGTCACAGCCAGGCAGAGCTGATGTTCTTTGGTGGGAATCGAAACCAGAATCGGGGGGGGGGGGACAGCACTACCGCAGGCAGACGTAGAGTTTCTTCAGATCTTGGGAGTTTTTCCTCTTGTTCTTCTTCTCGCGTACCTTACCTTGCCTTAGACAGCACCTAATTACCTACCTAAAAGACAGGGATGGGCGGATGCCACTGGTAATCAAGGTAAGGTAAGGTAAGGTATTGCAGATGATCGGCCATCGAGAGACTAGCACGTTTCGTTTTTTGTTCCCTTGGGACGTATGTAAACTCGTGTGTTCCCCCCTTCGTCCACGTCCACGCCCACTGTCCCTGCACAAGAGCTATTGTTTCCTTTCGAAGGCTTGCTTTCCTTGCTATCCTCATTGCTCCTTCCTCACGACTTGCACCTCACCAAGAGCACCTTCTGCGAGAATCTCTCGGTACCTACCGACCCAGTCCCTGGTACTCCCTCGGACTTGGTCAGTGCTTTCACCTCTGTACGATGGCCGCGGCAGTCGACATTCAATCAGCAGCAGCAGTAGTCCCTCACACGGGTATCAGCCGGTTAAGCAATTCAAGGTATGCTCCACCCTCGTTCTTACTCTCTCTCACATTCTCTCTCTCTCTCTCCTTTGATTTGATTCTCTCTGCCTGCTTGCCCAAGCCTGAACAACGAAATCATCATCATCGTCATCCCTTCCCTTCTGGTGGGTGCGCCGGAGGCACCGTGGGATGGTGGGGTCGCCTTCCGAATTGGGTCAAGGGAAAGTGGCCCTAGCTCCTCGACTCCCCACAAGTGTGGCTTGTCGGCACCTCGTCACCTCGCATTTTTCGTCTCTTTTCCTCCTCTTCACAGCCTTTGGGCAGTGCTGCGCCACTCTTGGGCCACGTCTCCCCCTTCATCACTCGTCACTCGTTGGTTGTTCAAGCCTCACTTCCCCAGCGCCTCTCAGCGCCTTTTCTCATCCGAGCTGCATCTCACCTAGGTACCTACGGGGTAAGGTACCTTTCGCACTGCTGCAATGCACCGGCAGTACCGCAAGCCCAGCCCCCATCACTGCACCTGCACCAGCCCAAGTGGTCCCCCCCCGTTCATCGTCTTTCTCTCGTTCACTTCCCCACCGCACCGTCGTCCATCGCTCCGCTCCGTCTGCGACCTGTGACCAGGAAGGATCCTGAAGTTTCCCACCGCCCGCGCGAGAGACACTGGGAAGAGAGACCCTCGTCCCTCTCCCCCCGCTCATAAATCCCGAGCGAGAAAAAAAAGCAAAAAAAGAGCGGATGCGAAAAAGGGCCCTGAATTAATTTTTTTGATTTTATTGCTTGGCCTTGGCTGATTATCCCCCCATCCTCCGTTTTCTCTTCCCAGTCTTTCTCCGATTGATCCTATTCCCGGAACTTTTCCCTCTTCTTCCTCCGTCCTTGTTCTCAATCCTCTTTCTATCCGTACCGATTCCCTAGGTTCTCACCACATTGCAAACACACATCCCCCGTCGTCAACCTGCATACTTCACCTACCCCCAAACACCTTTTGGGAAAGATCGTCGCTCTTCTCGAACCGAACCTACCTACCTGCCTACCTACCTAAGCACCCTCTGACGCAACTCCCCGCAAGCAACAGCCGCTTCCTACCCTTTCGCTCTTCTCGCAACCAACAACCACCGCCGCCCCGAGCGATCAACTCCTCCCGCTCCGGCTCAACATCGACGACATCCTCCATATCCTCTACCGCATCGGCTTCAGCAGCATCGCCAGCAGCATCACTTCAGCTATCCCCCTCGACCTCCCCGACGAGCAGCACCAAGTCCGGACACAGGTCCGAGTCGCGCTTGAGCATGCCTTTCAGGAAGATGGCGCGTCACTTTGGCGACACTGTAAGCTCCCTCTTTTTGCCTTGCTGCTCCTTCTTCGTCTTTGGAACTGGCTTTTGCCCCTTGCCCGCCGCTGCCGCACTGGGAAGTGAGGCCTGATGAGGTCACAATCTTCCTCCATGGTCCTGCATTCCAGGTCGGACGACAGCCGCGGACGGGCAAGCACATGCCCTCTCGTCTCGTCGCCTGCCTTGAAGTGCGGTGGTGAGGCTGGCAACGGCGGGGGGTACTTCGGAGGGGGCTGTCCTGTTTCAGCGCAAGCGCCAGTGAACTGACCCGAATCGCGTCCTAGCTCTCCCCGCAGGCACCTTACTTGTCGTGTAAGTCGCACTTCCTTACTCCAATGTTCCGCCGCAACTCTCGCGGTGTGGTCCTCCCATCCTGTGGTAATCACAGCCCGGCTGACAGCTTCTTTTGGACGATGCAGATCACGATATCCTCCGTACGTAACCCTTTCGATGGATGACGAGGTCCCGGGACCTGCCGAGACAGCGGGTTCCGGCAACTTGGACCTCTGCCTGAGCTCAATCAGAAAGGCACTTGACTTACTCGCGTTGCTTGCAGTCACCTACGAAGACATCAAATCACTCAAGAACGACTGGTTGACAGATAACGTACGACACACCTACCCTCCTTGCGCCTGCTCCTAGCTAACGAGTGAATAGAACATTGCATTCTGGGAAGAGTGAGTCCTAACCACTCCCAAAGCCAACAATAACCCCTCCCTTCCGAGCGACTCCCCTAACAACCGACAACCGCAGATGGCTGGAACGCGAAGTCCTCCCCAAGTATCCGCAAGCCCGCATCATCCTCCTCCGGCCCTCAATGACCTTCCTCCTCATGAAGGAGCCCGATATGCGCCAGATCCGCTCCGCCCTTCCCGACTTCTCCAAAGTAACACACATCTTCCTCCCCATTAACGACGCCCGCAACGTCGCCCAGGCCGAGGGCGGCTCCCACTGGTCTCTGCTGCTCGTCAGCGCAATCGACGGCGTCGCCTTCCACTACGACTCCCTCGGCGGCGCAAACTACGCAGAGGGCCGCCTCGCCACCCATAAGATGTCCGAGATCTTAGGCCGTCCGCTCCGCTACCTCAACCTCGACGACTCCCCGCAGCAGGAGAACGGCAGCGACTGCGGTGTGTTTGTGTGTATCCTCATGCGCCACCTGCTCATCAAGCGCCTGCTCAGCGCAAATGCCCGCGAAAAGGTCAGCATGAGCATGGCCAACAAGCTGATTGACAGCCACGGCGGACGCAAGGAGATGCTCAAAATTATCGAGAGCTTGCGCAAGGAGGGCGAGCGGAGGAGATCGTAAGCGCCAAACCCTCATATTTCCCCTCTTTACTGAATTTGCGCATTGTGTTTTTGGTCTCTGCGGCTTGTGGATGATGGCAGTGTCATCGTCCTTCCTCCTGTACATGTACTTGTGTCTTGATGAAGCGTAAAAACGTGTATTTTCTCGAGGGTTCCCTGACACCCCTTCTTTCAAAAAGGAGAAGCGCATCACCGTACTCGTCAAAGACGCCGCCACGGATCGAGTAGTCAACAATAGGTCCCCTCCCTACCGCCCATTACAAACTCGAACGAACGATGCGAGATTGTGACTTATCATCACATTCTTGCCGACGACTTATCTGAATGTTTCGATATACGATATCCACGAACGAATGCATTGTATTTTATTCAAACGACATAAGAAAAGGGGGGGGGGGGGGGATGTAAGCATTTCGTAAGAGACGACGGAGTCATGAGCGCTATCTACCAACACACGCCCAAGAAGTCGACCGAGTCGAATCGACCGCCCAAAGTTCGAACACCGTTTCTGCGACAACGGTAGAGACGGGACTGTGAAAGGCGGATGGGGTTGGTGAGAAGATGAGCGTAGAAGGGCCGGCGCCGATGAAGAGGATAAGACCTGGGCGGGGTGTCATGAATATGGCGGCGTTGTGGACTACTTTGGCGGGTCATGTTGGAGTAGAACCGGCGCAGACAGTGTGGTTACAGTAGAGGAGGAGGAGGGGGAAGAAAGGGGTGCAGATCAAGATAATGCAAAGGCGAGGCGTTTTGGCGTGCCAATGAACGGTTGATTAGCCAAGAGAGAGATTATTGATCTTATTCTTACTTTCCTATGATGCTTCTCGTTTGTTGGATTACTTACTTTGCATGGTTCTGACCTGCTCCTTTGGGTGCCATCTACTCTTGGCTGCGAGTATATCCACAATCAGAAGAATCCGAACGTACTCCAACGAAATGTGTTCCTGGACTAAGCCGAGTGGAGGGACTGAACTATAGGAATTCGTCAAAATGGTGTTTGGTGGCAACGTCACACAGCATCGCTCATCCATTGCCATCAAGCCTTGACGAGTGATAACGTATCACATCATCGCGTGGGACCTGGAAATCAAGCCAACGGAGTAAGCTGTATCACGCTAGTTAAGAATCTCTCTTCAAACCATCGTTCCCCGCTGGATCATCGATGTGTCGCTCAGCGCTGACCAACCCAAGCCCAATAGACCATCCGCAAGATGGCAACGAAGTTGTCTCCCGATGTGGTATTGAAAAACCTTGACCTCCTTCTCCCCTTGCAAATCCATTCCCATTACCAAAAGGGGCCATCATCCTGGTGGGGCTTCTTCTTCTTGTACAATTCTCGCTTATCGCGCGCGACCCGGGCTGCCAGCTTGTTGAATCCTGCCTTCGTAATTCCGTGTAAGGCTCCACCTCCGCTCATTACTGACGGGGCGACGGACGAAGGAGCATCGTGAATCTCCTGGAGGCGTTGACGGAATGCCAATGGCGTAGTCGGTACATTACTGTTCGCGATCAATGGGGTGTCCAAAAGGGACGGGACTCCCAATCTAGAGTTGCCGTAAATGCGATTGTAGTAGGAGCCGGTGGTGGGCACGACAGTGAGGTGAACCGGTCGATCATTGCTCATCGTGTCAATGGGCTCCGCCCAAATTCTGGCCGAGGCGGAGCGACGTGAAGCGCTCGATTCAGTGTTCAGGGACTGGTCTGCGTCACCATGGATTCCACCATCATCAACGATGATCTGCTGGCGGCTTGGTTAGCGTTGTGTTCTTTCTCTTCTCGCTTCTTGTTCTTGGACTGAAGATAGGCGTTCACCTTTCGCTGGTCGATCAAGCCAGTGCTCTGATAGATCAGGTCCGCAGTCTGCTGAGTGTAAGGGTCAGTGCTGTCGATATTGTAGTGCAGCCATTCCTTTTGCGACTGCTCAGTGGTGTAGGTCCAACCAGCAGAGTACCACATCTGGAAGGCACCCGACTTGGGATCTTTGCGGTGACGAACCTCTTTTCCTTGGTCAGGATCAAAATCCATGTACTCAACGGCATCGTTCCAGTTGGCGCTTTTCTCCCAAGTGATAGGCTTTTGTCCCTCGCGAAATGCGTCGAGCTCTGCCTCTTCCACCGGATCATCTGAGTGGGCATTCGCAAGCCATGCCTCTTGATAGCGCTGATCTTCTGCCTCGGCCTCTTCTTTGGTCTGGAAGCCACGGGCGTTCTCTGCGGAGATGATATCAACGTTGAACGAGGGGGATGTAGGCAGGTATCGGATATGAAGAAGATCATCGAGTGAGGCATCGCAAGGGTCACGGCAGAAGACAACATTGTGCCCCTCGGGTGAACCGCTATAAAGAGGAGATCCGATGATACACTTGCGAACAAGCACAGCTGACTCGATATTGGAGAACGAGATCTGAAAGCTTCCGTCGTCAGCGTAGACAAAGTGCGTAATGACCTCGGCGAAGGTGGACGCTAGTCCGGCTCTCTTGAGCACGGTATGCAGATGCATGACGGGAAATTCAGTGACGGCAAGACAACGAGTACTTCCCTCGCGAATCATGGCGACAATAGAGTCCTTCAAGGGGAATGAGTCCGTATTGGCAATGCTGATGTGGACTCGAACCGAGTTGCCATCAGCCGTGGTGAACCCGATTTCGCGATCACGGTTCAGGCTGTACCGGTAAAACGCCTTGGCGTCCTCCGGAGAGGTGAACTCAATGTACGCATGGTTGAGGCGATTATCACTAGTTCCCATGGGCAGCGCGTGGGCCTTGAGAATTCGACCACCTCGAATGTGCTCAAGAATACGCTGGACGTGAACCTCGTCGGGGAAACCAGTCATGATGATAGTCCTGGAGGCCACACCTGGCATGCCGTCGTTGGCAGTTAGCTTCTGATCAGTCTCATTTCGGATATACCGGATCCCGTATTTCAACATACCCGGCACCGCTGAAGGGCGACGACTACCAGTGGCACGCTGATATGCCCGCAGCACACGTTCTTTCTGGAATGGACTGTCCCAGATGTTATCGCTGCCATCACTCCAGTCGAGACCAGTCCCATTATCTGGGCGAGCTGCAGTCTCGATTTTCTGGTTGTCAAGGTATTGAATGGGAGGAGGAGGATGCTGCTTTTTGGCAGAGAGTTCTGGAGGGTCGGGCGTGATGAGGGCTTCCTTGAAAACGTAGGGTAACTCTGGCCTCGGAGAAGTCGCATGGTTGGCTCGATCGATGTTCAGAGGCTTGGCAGGTGTCTTGAGAGCCGGGAAATGGTCCTCAAACGAGATCAAGGGCTCGTCATTAATGCCAAGAATTGTCGGGAGACCAGAGTTCATGTTTCCTCTATCATCAAGAGATCTGTCAAGAGAGACTCCAATGGTAGCGAAAGATTCCGTCACCTCTGGATGATCAGTAAGAAAGCCGCGCATGAAAGCTTCATACATCTTCGCTCGCTCGACAGCGTTAAGAAGGCAATTCTGCATGGCCTGCATCTGGGCAAAGAGAGGTGCATTGCTTGCGACCTCTCCGGCATGCTTCGTTTTGTACTCTGTAAGCTGTTCTTGAGTGTGGTCAAGATCATCTTGGAGCTTGCTCAAGGCCTCTTGATCCTTTTTGCATCGCTCATTTTGCTCAACAGAGTAGCTCTGCGCGCGGCATCTGAGGAGGTTGGCCTCCTTGATATCCTCCTTGAGCTCGTTGATTATGGCCTCGTTCAAGTTCACTTTGTGCTTCAGCAATTCGTTGGCATATTCGAGGCTCACATTCTCACGTTTGAGGACTTCCTGATCGGCCTCGAACTGCTTGAGGCGAGACGTCATGGCAAGGAAGTCGTCTTGGCGAGCATCTGAGTAGGACGAGAACGACTGCTTCGATGACAAATGGTCTCGGGTTGTGCTGCTGGGAGTAAACTCGGCCGAGGACGGGTCTAACGACTTGCGACCAGGACCGAAAGACTCAATCTGCTTAGTGACGGCGGAACTCGTGATCGTGTGGGTGTGGCTGGCGTCAACATCAGTAGCGTTAAGATCTTTGGAATCGTCACCGAAATCAATGAGAATCTTCGAGTTCGCTTGGGGTAGAGTCGGACGAGTAGGGGCGGGCGGGCTGCCGGCGTCGTTTTGGTCATCATCAAAGCCATTGTCAGTCGACGCGTAGACGCTCGCTTCGCCGTGTTTATCCTTCTCCTGCTTGATGACTCGGTCAAGAGAGCGGGGATCGTATGTGTCAACCATATTGTCGGCTGTCGTTGCGTTGTGCTGGTGGTGGTGGAAATTCAGACGGTGTTCCGAGGCTCGGGAGCTTTCAGCTGAATTTCTGCCGAGGTAACTGTAAACGAGAGATGTTAATGAATGTACTGACGATGTTTCTCTTGCGAAGAAAATGAGAAACGGATTCGAGAAATGAATGTTGAGGAAGATGCGGAAAAGGGGATGGGTAGTACTTCGACTTCTGTATCGATTGGAAATAACGATTGAAATTACCACTTGCTCTACCAGCTTTTGACAGCTGAGTCCTCGAAAGCGGTGATGTAGAGCAAGGAAGGTCCGGTCGAAATGTGGAGGAGAGGAACTTTTAGAATCCCCCCCGGGGAAGGCGCCAGCGGGCTTTGGACCAAATGGAAGGATGGAGCGAAGATGATGGAGAGAAGGAAGGTGCGCAAGAGGGCTTGGACGCAGGGCAGGCTCTGGGGGCGGTGAGCAAGCAGCGATGGGACATACCTAGCTGAGTCTGAAAATGTTTGTGCCATCTTGACTGAAAAAAGTCAAGAGTAGTTGTAAGCAATGAAGTAACCGTGAGGTGATTCTTTGCGTCCAGTGCTGTTGCCTGTTGACGAAGTAGACGATGTCGGTGATTAATCGAAATGATCTCGCTTGAAGTGTGGTGACTGGCTTGTATAAGGGTGATCTATAGGGGCCAAAATGCGCTTTTGATGCTATCAAGAACGCCGAAAGCAAGGCAAAATTTCCGTCTCTTTGTCTGTGCTGCCGTCAAAGTGGTGACGTTGTAGGCGTTTCGTGGTAGGAATGATGTGGGATTCTGATGAGGATCGAAAGAAGGCTCGACTCGGATTCGGACTTGGCCTAGAAGGAGAAAGAGGCGCTTAAAGTAGGAGACTTCAGCTGACCTGAGATACATTAATGATGCTCAAATAAGGGCGAGGGAGTGAGACTCTCGCTTAGGTAACTTACCCGATAAGTGTGATTCCGAAGCCGAAATCACGACTCAGCACTAGTAGACAAGGCCTTGAGATAGAACCGAGTGAATAGCGGCAAGAGTGAGGAGGGAAGCTAGGATATTCAGGTACGTGAATGTATTGTTTCCAAGCGGTGGCACGGATGTAGGGGGAGGAAGACTCGAAGAAGAAACCAGAGGAAGAGATGCCCTCTCTTATAGACCTTCTGCAGAGGTAGACTCGGCAGAGCAGGAGCTACCGTGGAGAAGGGGCGGAAAGTCGAGAGGGATGAGTCTGGGAGGAGGTTGGTGGTTTGAAGGATTAGAGTGCGAGAAGGGAGAAAGAATAATGGCCCCTTCTCATATAAGTCCTTGCCAGATGTCAGAGAGAGGGAGAAGCTTCTGAGGAGGGGGAGAAGAGAAGAGAGAGAAGAAGAAGGAGGTGAGGTAGAGGAAAAAGGAGCAAGAAGATTGATGAGCTGAGAAAAGAATCAGATCTTAATATCCCCTTGGCAGCCGGGCAACCGGGGAGCGGAACTGAGGCTATGCGGGGACACTGGTAGACCGAGGAGCTCAGGAAGAAGATCAACTTCGGTGGAGAATGCTAGACAGAGAATGTAGGCCCGTGAAGTGTGAGACGGAGCAGGCCAGACGTGAACTTCGCATGTAGTAAGCTGTAAAAGCATGAGGCAGAGGCCATAAGGTCTAGACCAGACATGTCAGAGAAAGCAGACGGAGACTGGAAGAGAGAAATTGGACAGGGCACAGACAAGTGCTGCACAAGGATCTGATATTCCCCTCAAGAGGGTTGGGTTATTGCTGTGGGAGAAACTGGTAAGCTTTTGGTATTGGGTAGTCTGAGTTGAGTGCAGTTAATCCCAAAGGAGACCCAAAGAGTTGGGAAATACCGGCGTTGAAGCGATGCATGTGAGCTTGGGCAGTTCGGTCTCCAGGGTGAGATAAGTCACCAGAAGGTAAGTGAAATGTGGGCGGATGCGATGAGGTATACATACTATGAGAAACCCACGGTCTCGGTTTACTGTGACTAAAAGGATCTTTCTGAAGGTGATCGAGTGAGGGGGGGTCAAGTGAAAGAGATCAAGTGAAGGGAAATCGAGTACATGTTGTGGCTTGAGGTAGTTTGTTACAAAGACTCCAACTACCTACACAAGCATCATCTGGAATGATGCAGTTGAATGAGGACAGGCTCAGCTGAAATGCAATAATCACTGAGCAATACTTGAATAAGTGACAGCGTTCGATTTGCTAGCATTGGACTGGGGACTATGAACCTTATTGATTATTTCTTGACAGTTTCCAAATGATCTATGAGGATTATCTGATTGTGAATAGATTCGTCAGAAGAAATAAATGATGGTATGAATGTAGACAGAGCAATGCTTGACGATAATATTGGGTTACAGCTATAGGTCGTAGACCTAGGGCGCATGATGCGACTTGACTGCACGCAAGCAGGATCATATGCAATACCGCAAAGCATCGTATTCAATCTGGTATCTTGGAAATGATGAACTAACGTTACGCAAGGAAAAGGGGTATACATGCTAGCCCAACGCCGTGCTCCGATAAGTCGATAGCCAAGGGAAACCTCCACACCTTATATCCACATGCATTGACCGACTGTCTTATACTTCAATGACGAAATCCCGAACCATGTTGAGGAACCTCTCACGGTACTCCGTAGGATTGGCAGTGATGCTCATAGGGCCGTGGCCGGCAAAGACATTGTACGACTTGACGAGTCCAGTCATGGCCTTCGCGCGGAACTTGTGCTTGGCCCAGAAGAAGTCGAGGACAATCATGCGGTAGGTCCAGTTGCCGTCAGCATCGGTAAGGCCGGTGCGCCAGGGAGGGGCGTCGGATTGAATGGTGGGAACGTCGCGGGGTTCATCGAGAACGTTGGGCCCGGGGTAGCGAACCATGAACAGTGAGTAGTCGACGGCGTTGTTCTCGGCTAGGAGTTGGGTGTCGGCTTGGAGAAGGTCAAGCAGCTCCTTCTTCTGGTCGGGCGTGACGCGGATCTTGTCTTCGAACTCGTCTATCAATCGCTCCTTGACGCTCTGTGGTGCAAGGTTGCCGTTGGCGATGTCCCGTTCGGGGAAGAAGTAATCGTTCGGCTTGAGGTCGTACGTCTCCCACTGATCCCTTCGGTGATCGGTCTCCTCCTCTTTCTTGCCGTACATCAAGTTCTCCATGATGATATGGTGCGTCGGCGCCATGCCAAGGATGCCACCAATCGTCGCTTTCGCGGTATACGCCATATCGGTGATGCGAACCAGCAAGCTGTGCGGGTGCTCCTTCGTATGTGCAACGTAGGCATCAAATAAGTCGTGCGTGAAGAATTCGTGCTCGAAACGGCGGGGCAGCGACTTGATAAGAAACTTGCCGTCGGCCGTCGTAAAGAAGGTCGAGCCGCTGTACCCCAGATCGCCGACGGGCACGAGGTCGGATTCGCGGCCCTTGCCCTTGGCTGCCTTCTGTGCGAGGTGGAAGGGGTTTGTGTACTCGTCTTCGTCAAAGTGCCAGACATTGTGCCGGAGCTCGAGGAAGTCTGCGGCACGATATCGGGCGAGAGGAAGGTGGAAGACGGAGAGGAACGAGGTGAAGACGCGGAAGATGCGCTTTTTGAGGCTTGGTTTGTCGGGGTTGTTGGAGTCGCCTGATATAGCTGCGAGGATCGAGGACGAGATGGAGGTACTCCGAATCTGCATGGTGGCGGTTGGAGGAGGCCGAAAGGCCTAGGTAGGTCTTCGAGATTCTTCTCGCGACGGAGTATGGCGGCGTCTAAAGGGGATTATCTCAAGAAGACCTGGTGAGATTGTAGGTCGCTTTGGAAAAAAGACGTTGCAGGGTGAAGCTTGAGCTAGGTAATCCGTAGCTTGTCTTAGGTTTGAAGGGATGGGATGGGAGCTTGACGGGAGCTTGTGCTAGGGGGACATGGTGGGGAGCTATTGACGTCACTTTGCCGGGAAGGGCGCCTGCAACCGCCAATGGCCTCAGCCACCGGAGCAAACGTTCCTGATCAGCAACATGGCAACCACCCATTCCATGACTGAGGTAATACACACATGATTACTCTTTCTATGGATAAATGATCGCTTGGATCTCAAAGCGAACCTCGAGACAGAAGTAAAGAAATAATCCTCTTCTTTTTCAAGATCCCTGCTGCTAGACATTTCTTGGTCAAGTTGGTCACACGAAAAATGCTGAAAGAGATGCAAGAATTGCCAGCTTCAATACTGTTTCTGATTTTCTTTTATTCTCTGGACAAGCTGACCTAGATCTTCCCAGTGACACCTGTTTGCTAGACTAGGTACTTTACACCAAAACAACCGGCTCCCAGCTGGGCTCAACGGAGGCCCATCCATCCAAGGAAACAAAGCCGATCCCGAGGCGAGAGTAGAGCCCGCTCGTACGAGTTGTAATCAATACATAGAAGCCGAATCCCTGGCTTTCTGAAAATATCGTATTGTGCTCCCAAGTACCGGGGAACTTGAGGCCAGCAGCGATGACCACCATGTAATGGCTAGTCCCCATGCTCAGGCATTTCAAAGCCCAGTGCCTGTGCATGGGTGCACTAGTACCTATCTTCGCGCCATCGTTGCCGTAAATAGTAAGTTGAATGTCTTCATCGTCCCCGCGAAGATAGGAGCCTATCCGAACTCTGGCAACGGTTGTATTGAATACGAGGGAATGAGGGTGTTCTTCTGCTCTGACTTGCGTCCTGCCATCAATGTCGATGTGGTGGCGAGCCTCCGTGGGACTGTGAGGAGACCGTGCCCACAACTCAACCACACGGCTCCAAGATGCCTGTTGTCGGGGGTACTTGTACTCCGCTGCCTGAAAAGGCTCTGCCTTGGGTTGAAAGAAGGCTTCGAGGTCTCTCTGGAGGTCTTCTTGGTGTACAACATCATCGATTCGATCTTCTGGAAACCAAACCTTGCCTTCACTTACGCTTCTGAGCCTAGAGGATTCAGTAGAAACTGGGTCGCAATAGAAGAAGGAGATGAGATGTCCAAAGTGAATCTGGTACATTGGGTCCAACCAATCCCCGTCAATTCTGCCACCGAGGGATCGTTGATAGATGACAGACCCCTTGCGAGTAGCCCACGTCCAAGATGGAAGCCTCAGTCCTTCCGCAGTGCGATATGTAATCCCCAAAGGAGAGCAAAAGGACCACAAGAGGCTATGTGCCAAGTACCTCTCCGGAAGCCCCAGCAGCATCTGCGTTTTGGCCCGAGCAGCGACAACATTGCCGACTCCAGCAAAGGCACTCAACACGTCTTCTCGACGGCCGAGTGTCCGCTTGGTGTACTGGTCCACGAGTAGCGGATAAAATCCGAGCACCCCATCATTGCTGTACTCGTCGGATCGTAGACCCTTTTCGAAGCCTCTTCCACCATAATCCTTAGTTTCCATGGCGTTATCTACCTGTGTACCCTTCTGTGGCCGATAGTGCCTGATGTCAGGGTATCTATGAAGCTCAGAACCCTCATGGAAGCAGCTAAAGTAAACGTGCCCGTTGCTGAAGAAGATATGCCGCCGGGAGAGAAGCTTCTCCTGAAATGTCCACGCTCTCGAGTTCCACTCGCTGGCACTTATGACTTGGTTCTCGCTGAGAGGAGCGATGCCAACGACGGCATGATCCATGGAAGAATTTCCGCCTGAGATGGTCCTCTCTACTGCTTCGGGCACATGCTTGATGAATTGCCAGCAATGGTTCTTATGGGTGGAGATGTTTGGCCGGGTAGTAAGTCCAGGTAACCCAGCACCAACACCATTCGCAGCTGCAACAATGGTGAATTCCGCGAGTTGATAAATGTCGTTCATAGCGTTGATCTGCGTCATCTTCAGATCTTCATCGTCCTGCAGGATGCACAGGCGATCAACCCAGAGATATCGCTGTCCCATGTTCCGACACAAGTGAATAGCGTCCACGACGACCTCTGGCAAAAAGTCCGGCAATAGAGCATCTTTTCGTTTCAACTTTTCTGCGTTCAATGTTGTCAAGTGAAGGTCCCGATCCGCTGAAGCAGTTGCAAGCCGCCATGTATAACTCAATGCCACAAACGGAGCCTGGATTTTTGGTTGGATAATCCGTCTGCGCTTAGTGTCGATAACGTGGAAACCTTCAGGGAGTTTTGAATCTGTCAAGGGATCGTTGCACTTGGATCCGTGGTATTCATGACAGCAAGACAACCAACTGCGAAGGAGGCTGACGTTGATGTATTGCCGATCCCAGAGCTCTGCTGACTCAAGTTGGCTTCCGTCTTTTGTCCCGTACTTGAGACTAATCCCCAGAATCACAGGTTGATAACCAGGGTTTGTCTTATTATCCGCCGGTGATGTGAGCCCTGAAACACAAATAGCCAAGGCGCAGCTCTCGGCGAAGGCCGATGTCTCATGCACTCTATTGAAAACAAGTGTACGAGAACTAGGGTCCGTCCTACGACTTGGGAAGAGCCCACAGATTGCGAACTTGGTGTCGCCGTCTGCGCCGACTACACTCCTTAGTTCTGTCCCGATGAAACTGCAAATAATGCATTCTAGGTTATCGGCGGTGCTCCTCAACGAACGAAAGTTCAAAGACTGAAAGCCGCAGGAGGCAGATACTGATTCATCAAAGTCGGGATCGAATGCCGAGACGTCCACATCTTGTGAAGCATAGTAGCAGAAGACTACATGGAAAAAGTCATTCCATGGCTGGCAGCCATGGCAAAGAAGGGGATTAGGGACGGGATTACTGCCATCTGAACAGAAAGTGCAATCTTCCAGACGGCCAACACTTCTGCCGTATAAGTGGGTATACATGCTTGATGCATTCTTTGGCGCATGGTAGGGTTGTCAAGTCGTCAGATGATGTCTTGTACGGCAAGTAGGCGAGAAAGAAAACGCCAGGCAGCCGTCAGATGAACCCTCTTAAACACCAGAGCTTGTGGGGTCGCGGGACTTTGAACCTCATTGGTCAATGATGAGTGGATAGACGGGTGAGCGAATGGCATATTGTGAAGCTCATCCGACCCATGTAAAATGGTAGGGAGCGTTGACTTACAGAGCTCAGACTTGGAGATATTACACAAGGCCGTGCTAAGAATCAGATGTTCTTACTTTTACTTTTGAAAATTTGGTTATATTTCGCATGTGAGTATGCAATTCTTCAACAACGCCTCGAGTGCAAGCATTTCTACAACCAAAATGTTCCAACGCCCTACAACCGATCTTGGCCTTTTCTCACAGCCAGTCTGTAATTATCCCATCCCCTTCCACCTGGCCTAACAGATATCTCCAACCGTGGCAGTCGCAGTGAAGATTCCATCGTTGAACTCGAAGCTCTTAGTGTTTCCGTGAACGCATTCGCATTGGTAGTCAATCTGCGTAAGGGTGGTGTCGTAGTTGGTATTGCGCAGTGTTGCGCCTCCAAGGCTGGTGCATTGCTTCTTGAGCTGCGACTCAATGTGGCTTACAGTGCAGTCTTTCGGGTAAGAGTGATCCGCGGGAAAGATGCAGCCGCCGGAATATTGTAGCTTTCGAGGACTGCCGTGGGCAGCCATGGCCAGACCCGGAAGAAGAAGAATAGTAGAGATTTGCACTATTTAGTATTAGTACGGAGGATACGGTCTCGGACGAAGTTGATGCGTTTACTGTTCGAAAGTGAAGTATTGAGTAGCCGTGATTCTTCGGTCAGTTTGGGCTCTGAATTTATGATTCCAAGGAGGTCAGTTAAAGACAAGCAGTGGAATGTGTCAGTCAGATTACGGAAACAATGTAGCAATACCGATCTTTATAGGTCAAGTGCGTTGTGAATTATACTCGCAGAAGGACTCTGGTGTTTTCCTAATATCCGTTTCATTACTTGCTATCTCGCTTCTAGTCTAGGGCAGCCCTGAGCAGAAACCACAAAATGATTGTCATAGGCCGCTAGCTTGGCTCTATTAAAATCTCTAGGCATAGTCAATGGTCTTGACGTATAAGAGTCTAATTGATTGATACGAAAAAGTTTCGAAAGAGCGGTAGAGTGGAAATTTGAGTTGATGGTCTGAAAAGCCCGACGGGATCGCCGCCAAGGCCCGGGCCCGACCGCCCCATTCTAACTCAGGCCGCGGCGCCGTTGTTTCGGGGCGCGTTTCCAACCTTGTGGAAGAAAACGGCTTGCTATCCGAACTCGCCGGAATCTACGACTGTCGCAGCAAGGTGTCTTTGAGCTCCATCACACACCCTTTTTGACCTTCACCTATGTTCTGATTTGTCCTCTTGTCACGAGTCACGGGTAGTCATAGCCGAAGATGAGGTCGGCAGCCGGTGCAAGTAGTGCTGAGTGAAACCTCCCGTTCTTTCAGATTCTATTTATCTGCATTGCGCTAGTAATTCTACAATCAAAACATTTAACCATCCCTTATAACATCTATGGTCTCCCGTCTAGTGACATCATTTACAACTTGCTTCTCAAGTCCTTTCTCTCATCCTTCTTGAACAGCACCTTACTGTTGGGGTAGGGGTCGAAGACCACGCTGTTGAGGGGGTTGTCCTCGCTGGCGCGCTTGAACATGTCCTCGTACACCTTGCCGTCGTAGCGTCCCAGACTGCTATCCAGGACCCAGTCGTCAAACTTCCAGGCATCGACCAGACGAACTGCGTGGGGACGGATCTCTTCCAAGAGCGTCATGACAGCCTTGGTTCTTGCCAGCGTAATCTGGCGGACAGTGACGGCCGCGGAGCTGTAGAACTCGCTGGCCTCCTGCTCAAGGGTGTTCAAAGCATACAGCCTGAACAGCTTGTGCAGCAGACCGACGGTGTCCTTGTCGAGCTTCTCAGTGGTAGCCTTGTCGTTGAGAGCCTGGTGGAAGTTCTTGACGACCATGTACTGGGCGTGCGCGGTGCTGAGACGCCAGAAGTCGACGAGAAGGCTGTTCCAGGACTGCTTGTCTTCATCTCTGTGGCGAAGAGCCTCAAAGGTGAGGAAGGACACACGCCAGGCGAACGCAGCGACGAGGTCCTCGTCGGAGCCAAGAACGTCAAAGGCGGCGCCGATGTCGCGGCGACGGAGGAACTCGGTAAGAATGCGAGTGGTGTCGTTGTTGCCGGCCTTGCCCTTGAGGACAGAGCGAGCAGACTTCAACAGGTAGCGAGATACTTGCTGGGTGAGCATGTAGTTATCGCCCTCCCAGGTCAGGGTTGGCAGGTAGTCGGCGTACCACGAACCGATACCGCTGAAGGACGAGTATCCGTGACCTCCGCAAGCGCGGCGGCAGATCTCGAGACCCTCACCTGCGACTGTTGAGCCGTAGGCCTTGAGGGCGCAGGAGGTGGCGTGCAAGTCGGCGAGGAGGTCGGTGCCTGGGTTTAGCTCCTCGGGGCCGGGGTTTCTGGTTCCGTCGCTAAGCTTGCCGACGTCGCCCTTCATACGTTTCTGGTTCTCGTCGTAGAGGTTGATCATACCGCGACCGGTGAAGTGGAGGGCGAACGTGGCTGCCAAGAGGGGCAACAGACGAACCTGCACCATGGTGTAATTGAGGACTTGGTTTTCGCCCGGCTCGCCGGCCGGTGCATCGCGATCCTGGAACTGCCGACGGACGGCGCAGTAGCGGGTGGCGATGGTGACGCCCTTGGCCAGGACGGAGCCGGACTGAAGGACAATGTTCGATCGCACCCATGTGAGGGTTCCGTAGATCAGGGAGGGGTTCGCGGGACGGCTGTACTTGCTCGTGTTCGGGTCGATGGACGAGAATCGGGCGAGCATATGGTTGTGCGGGATCTTTACGTTGTTCAACAGCAAGAAGCCGTTGTCCATGGTGTTATAGCCGAACTTGGGGCCGATATCGCCGACATGGACGTTCGGGAGAGGCTCGTGAGTCTTCTTGTCGCGGATCGGCACGACGAAGGGGTGGGGTCCAATCATCTTGCCGTTCAGGATCAGCTGGGCCATGACGACGGCGTGGGTGGCCGTCTTGCCCAAGGATCCGATCCACCACTTCGAGGCCGTAAGGTGAGGTGAGTGCAGAACGAAGCTCTTATCAGTTGGGTCCCATGTCGCAGTGGTCTCCAGGCCGCGAACGTTGGAACCGTGGCCAAGCTCGGTCTGGGCGTAACATCCGAGGATCTCGTAGTTCTCAGCAGGCTTGAGGAAGAGCTCGTGCTGCTCCGGAGTGCCCTGCTCGCGGAGGGTGACGAGGAACATACTGGCATGGAGGCCATATGGTGTCGGCTCAGCAATGAGGTCGTTGGCAACGATGTAGTCTTGCTGAGACCAATTGTGCTCCTTGGTCAACTGGAAAAGTCTCTTGCCTCTGGCCAGCGCAGCCTCGATACGGGCATTCCGGCCACGGAAGTAGTTTTGCGTCTTGTCAAAGACAGGCTCCTTCTTCAGGATGTTTAATATCCTCTCGCTGCGTTCGAGAGCCTCATTTGTGAACATGAACGACGCGAGCTGGTCGACGTTAAGGTTGGACTTTGCGCGCTCCTGAGCGAGGAGCTCAGTGCCCTGCGGGCCGGACGGCTGAAGGGCCTTGACCCAATCCGGGGTATTCGGCATCTTGTCTTTTGTGTGTGGGGATGTGAAGCTGGGGTAAGTGAAGGACTGGGGAAGATGGTCTGGAGAAATGGAGGCTGCAGATGGGATTTTGTAGGATATGCTGTTCTTGAGTCGTGAGCTGTGCGCTGTCCAGATCTAATCTAATCGAGGTTTCGACTTCCGACTCGGAGAGCAGCTATGATGCTTTGATGGGCAGTGCCTCGGCAATTACCATATTTAGTTAGACTACAACTCTTGGTTCGCGTCGAAACTCCACAAAAAGGCTCTCGAGAAACCCCTTATTCAACCAAACGGCCCACCCAAACCCAAAGTTGTCAGCTCCCGATCATCGGACATGCTCGGCGCCGACTCCGACTCCCGAGGGTGAGGGCACGCCTAGCCGATTTCCCTCGGTTGGTCTTCTTCAGTGCCGGGTGACCGCTTCTAGGCCTCCGGGACACGCGGGGTCTCACTCATCTCACCACTCATCACTGTTGCGCGTGCCTTTTGACACCAGCTCATAGTCCAAAGCCTAGCCTGACATCTGTGGCGAAAGCGAGATCGCACGTGTTGATTTCCGTTTGACGTTTGACAATGAACTAGGCTGGATACTTAGTTGGGAGAAGAGTTTCGTTGAAATCGCCAAGCGGGCGCAGGGAGGAACTGACAACTACCAAAGCCTAATGCAACTTCAAGGCACCACGTTCTACTTATCCTTCCAGAATTGCAAACCTTATTTCTGATAGTTCATCTTTCACAAGCCAGAGATCCAGAAAAGGCCCCGTCAACCATAGAGTCCTCCGTGAGTCGCCACTGGGTGAAGGCTCATGTCAGGTTAACAGAGCACCCAAGGCTACCTCATATGCCAATGCCATCTGAGTCTAAACCACACCTCTTCGAAAATTGACATTATCCCTTCCACGGGGAAGAAGTACTGACCCGCAGACATTCGACCATTCTAGCCGGATTTCATCCATGTCTGGGGCGCTTGGGTGATGGATCCAGATAGTCGGATCTTGATCCCTGCCACGACAAATGATGCGTCATCCAGCACCGACACCTGACAGATCCACCAGGCTTTTTGGCGGGACCAAGCACCCAAGAAACATGTGAAATTGTCTGCTTGAGTCGTGTAATTTAGGAAGCTCTTGGAAGAGCTGTTTTACTTGCGTCGACGCGGTTTGATCATCCGCTTGAGCACAGGAGGTGCTATGAAAAATGTCAATAAGGCTGTGCGGCTCAAAGAAGGTGCATTTCTGCGCACGTAAGACGCCCATCACTATCTCCGTTGTTGACAGGAAACTAACCATCCTTGAGTGCCAATGTCGCCAATCCCGATGGCGAGCCATGCAGAAAATCTCCATTATCCCGAATCTCCGAGAGGATGCTCATTCGAGAGCCTGAGACCCTTAGAGTGAACAAACTACAAGGTGCTTTCATGATTGGTGTGTTGGCTATGGGCACCGTGTCTGCGCTTAAGCGGCACGTTCATGTTGATGCACTGTACTATGAGTTTGCTGGAGACAATGAGCAAACATTGGCAACCAATGTGAAGCTGATGGAGTCAAAGGAACGAATCAACAACACCATCTAGAGCCAAGAGCAAACACCTGCATCTTCAAACCCATCAGCTTTCAGCTTCTGCAGTAATCTTTGGGCATCAACCCAGTGCGCTATCAATGTGCAACATATCTCACTCCCAGCCTCGATAAATCCATCTAATTCCGGGGGTGGGATAGATGTTTGCTACCCTCAACAACTAGCCAGTCCCTGTGGCGTCATGATCCTTGTAAAGATCAGTTCTCGGTTGGCTGAAGAAAATGGATGAGCTGCCAGATTCACCGGGAAGGGCCGTTATTGGGTGACACGACGACTGGGTTGATTACTAGGACTATCTACTATCAAAGCAAACACGATGGTTACTCCGTCGGTGGCTCCTGTCTAGATTCGATAAGACCCTGCACGATGGAGCATCGCCGAGGCCTCGCTACTGAATATGTGATTGAAGGTGCATTTCTGGATCCTCGATGTCTGGGTAGGTAAGCAGCCTGATGTGGCCACGTTTGTTCTATGCCTTCGGGAATGGAGACTCAGAAGTCCGGAGGGGATGGTACGGCCAGATCTACTGCGTCTCATTAGAAAACCAGGTTAACATGAGTCGCAGTTCACTTAAAAGGGCCAGCCTTTCCCGCGATACTTGGAAACTACTACTCTTGGGACATCGCAGCAACACTGACTGCAAGCCCTCTTCTCTACCTTCTTCACCCTATCAGTCAACTGACTTGTTACCTTTCAACTCAAAATGGCCGTCACGGAGACCCCAATGGCTAGACGCCGGAGCGACGACCCTCCACGTTCCCACATGGTGGGACGGCTCCATCCCTCCGGGTTGAAGATCACCATGGAGGTCAACAACTACTTCCTCAACAACTGGCCCTTCCCTGACGAGCGAACCAAGCTCCAGTTTGTTGCTGAAGGACTCCCGACATGGCACTTATGCCAGTACCCGACGGCCCGCGAGGACCGGGTCGGGGCTGCTTGCCGCTTCATGGTAATGCTCTTCCTTGTTGATGGTAAGTGGATACTTCCTTATGCCCTTGTCCGGAGCAGTTTCTGATGCTTTTGGATTTGTAGACTTGCTAGAGCACCTTTCTCTGAAGGAGGGCTCATCATACAATGAACGATTGATCTCCATCGTCAAGAGCGAGACAGCGCCTGCTCAAGACTCCCCGATCGAGAAGATGGTTCTGGATATCTGGGAAGATATGAGGTCCATTGACAAGAAGCTCTCGGATGATATTGAAGAGCCTACTTTTGCGTTTTGGCGGTCTCAAAACGACAAGGATCGACTGGCGAAGAAGAGTGTGGCAGAATATCTCAAGTATCGAGAGCTGGACGTCGCTTCTGCGTAAGTCTTGTCCCAGATCATCTCAAGCTTCCATTATTAACCTCTCACAGGGTACTCCTAGCCACTCAGCGATTCCAGGACGGAATCAGTCTCAGCAAAGAGGAGCTCGCCTCAGTTGCCGATCTCGAACTCAACTACACGCACCACGTCTCCGTCATCAACGATGTCATGAGCTGGGATAAGGAGCTTCGCGCTTCTAAAGACATTGCTGCCGAGGGGTCCATTGTCAGTAACATTGTGCAAACTCTGGCTGACGAGAGTGGCCTTGACTACGATGGTGCGAAGCGGATCTGCTGGGTCATGATCCGGGAGTGGGAGAGACAGCACGATGCCATGGTACAGCAGAGGCTCCAAGAGGGTTGCTCAGATGCACTGAAGACCTACATGGAGGGTATCGAACTTCAGATGAGTGGTAATGAGTTGTGGAGTCGAACTACGCACCGCTATAATGCTCCTCACCTCAAATAGTTGTATCTTAGATGTAGTTTCCTTGAGTCAGGTAGTTCACGTCATATCATTAATACATGTTATCTACACGATGTCCTCCCCTACCTTCCGGTCAGAATCAATTCGGAGATTGTCGTTCAACTCATGCAGAGTCTCCACGAATCAGAGCGTCCGAAAGTAACTCGAGTCTGCAAGAGGAATTTTAAGTCTCTTTCTATCTTATTCTTTGGAGAAGGTTGAATAGGGATCGCTGGAAGCAAAACCTCGCAGCATCCACCTATGACGACCGCCAATGTACCCTACTTAGATGTTGTTTGGTAGCAGTAAAAGTTCGCTTCGTCATCCGGCTGTTGACCTTCGTGCCAAGACTGGCTTGGCGATGCCAAGATATGTCAGGTCTCGTTAAATTCGACGTCGTTCAGCTCACAGACGACGACTACCTTAATCAATAAATCGATCGCTGGATGGGGCTCTTTGACTTTTGTTGATCTTATTCCTTCTAAAATCTTAGTTCCGAGTGGTTGGGGCCGAAATAATTCGACAATCTATACCCGGGTAAAACAGCTCCTCGTGTTCGGATGGCCGGCATCATACCTGCGTAGAGGCGAAGGTACAGGTTTACCCGCATATGCTCACAAGCCTACTGCGCCCTTATTGTTGGGCAACGCATTCCAAATTATGTACCCTTTATTAGAACACCCCTCACGCTTGATCGTGCAATTCGTGTCTTTTCACAACGAGCATTTCGGTATTAATTACGAGGACAGACTTGAACGCGCCAAATTGATGGATATAAAACATTTGCACACAATCGGTCATCATAATCTCGTGATATCAAGTCCTTTCCATCCCATTCATTCGCAATCGCGCTCTTCCTACCGCACAGGAAAAACTTCCTCTACTCAATTCCGTCCAAACAATGGCCTCAACTGCAAGGACGCGTCTTCAAACTACTGCCCTTGCATGAACACCTGGCAATCGCCAATCACACCCTCTTTGTCCTCTGTGAGATGCCTGGGCCTCGACGGTAAAGGTCTGGTTCCCGGATGCTGCCGGTACCTACACGCTGAGCCAAGGCGAAATGCTGATTTGAGGAAATTTCCCCAACGTTTACCCCGGACACCCACCCCCCGTCTTGCAGTCAAGGGCTCAACTCTACATGACACAAGACGTTTCCCCACCGAATAAACAAGCCATTAGCGGACGGAAAGCTTCAACTTGAGTAGACAAGCTTGTTTCTGGCCGGAGTCTCCTCTTTTGCGATGCACTTGGGTTCGATGGCGTTAGCGTGAGCAATCTCACCGGTTCTGGTTCGCAGTTTTCCTTTGGAGCAGGGGTTCCTCTACGAAAGCCGGGTGAGCATCGGCAGCCCAGCTCGAGGGGTCGATGAGCTCCAGTCCAGCAAGAAGCTGCGATTCGCGGAATGGCCATGTATTCTGGTCCGTCCATCAATGTTACCTTCTTTTACCTCGAATCTCATATGTCGAGGACTTGCTTGAAGCTATGCCTAAAGTCCGTAAGCGTATTCCGTAACCCGTAGAGACTGAGCATCATCTCGTGATCGTAGTCATCCCTGTTCCGTAGACGGAAAAGCATCCGATCGAGAGCTGAGAGATCTTGTATAAGAAGATGGGCAAGAAACATGGTTTCTCGGTTCTGGATTGCTCGGCGTCCTCCATCCTCGACCTTGAACCCTCTTGGCAGTCCCGAAAGCTCCCCTTGATACCCTTTCATCGACCAATCGCACACAGACTCGCAAGATGAAGATTACCTCTGCCTTGGCCACGCTTTTTGCCCTTGCGGCTGCGACTCCGACCCCTACCGTCGACCATGTCGCCGAGAAGGCCCACCTCGTGAAGCGAGCCTCTATCTCAGACAAGGCGACTCTCGGTTATGCCACTTTGAACGGCGGGTAAGTTTAAGAGAAAGGGGTCTGGAAACAGAACAGAGCTAATGAAGTTGTAGAACTTCGGGAGGATCCGGTGGCACGGTCACCACTGTATCTACCCTTGCCGAGTTCACTGCCGCTGTCAACGAGAAGGATACTACCGCGAGAATCGTGGTTGTCAAGGGTACCATCAGTGGCACTGCCAACGTTCGCATTGGTAGTAACAAGTCCGTCATCGGTGCATCTGCTGGTGCAGGTGAGAACTTTTCGCCCCTCGTACTTTTCGTACACCAAGTAACGTCTTTCTTATTCTTCCAGGATTCAACGGAATTGGACTGCACGTCCGTCGCATGTCCAACGTGATTATCCGCAACATCAAGTCTACCAACGTCCTTGCTTCGACTGGTGATGGCGTGAAGATTGAGGTGAGCAACTTTCCCCCCCGTGCCATAGTGTGTTCAACAATATTGATGGATCTTCTCTCCTTAGGAAAGCACCAACGTCTGGATCGACCACTGCGAGTTCTCCTCGGCCCTCGTCTCTGACAAGGACTACTACGACGGTCTCGTGGATGCTTCTCACGCTGCCGACTACATGACCATCTCATAGTAAGTCTTCGACTCAGCTGAAATAGGAGCTACCTGCTTACTTCATCAGCACATACTTCCACGACCACTGGAAGACCTCTTTGATTGGACACAGCGAGAACAACGGTGCCGAGGACAGCGGTCACTTGCGCATCACCTACGCCAACAACTACTGGGCCAACTTCGGTTCCCGCGGTCCGTCTCTGCGCTTCGGCACTGGCCACATCTACAACTCCTACTACCTCAAGTATGTTTCTCATCGATGCTTAGCTTTAACATCAGCACACCCCCCCACCTGGGCTTGAAGATACATATAACTAACAACTTATGTCTAGCGGTAATTCTGGAATCAACACTCGCCAGAACGCACAGGTCCTGATCCAAAGCAACGTTTTCAAGAACGTCACTGTCCCCATTACCAGCCAGGACTCCGACATCGTTGGCTACGCTGTTGCCATCGACAACGACCTTGGTGGTGCTTCCAACTTGGCTCCCGTGGGCACCATGAACGCCAACTCCCCTCCTTACTCCTACAGCCTGCTCGGCTCCGCCAACGTCGTCGCTACTGTCCCCGGTCAGGCTGGCCAGAAGCTTACCTTCTAGAGAGCGAAGTAGCGGTTTCAGGAGGCTCATCAAGGTTTCGGAAGGCATTGAAGGCCTGAGAAGCTAAAATTGTACATAGTTGGTTCCGAACTTGGAATCAGTTTCTATATGGGGACAGGGAGAAGCCTGGAAGCACATAGTATTTACTTCATTGTATATATAACTACTGCAAGATTAATTGTCACTCTGAGAGAATTCCCGTACTTCCTTCTTGATGCGGTCTATGCATTCATTACGATGATGTATCATCGCACCAAAATAAGACATAAGAAGATCACGATATGGGTTTGATAGATTTGTAATCGTTGGCACAAACCAAGTCGAACTGTTTGACATTGTGCAAGGGTGCCGCTGGCAATGAAAACGCGCTACCAACGTATGTACAGGAGTTTTGAAGGGTATCTTCGTTCCTAGTCTTGTGTATGTCGCTCCCAGCTATTTATGTGTCTAATCATGCTAGTGGTCATGTGTCCTGAGTCCTATGTGACATACTGATCGAGACCAAGTGCTCGATCAGTAGACACAGCAGGATCATCATGTCACTGCCGCTCAATTACGCACGTCATTTACCAAATCCCGCGCAGCTCTTCCGGCTGACTGGCGGGGAAAAATCAAGCTCATGAACATATCTCGCACTCTTGACTCGTAATGCTTCGTGTTTGTCGTATTGCTTTTCGGACGCGCGAAGTGATCTCACACGTCATCGGACTTGCCAACGGCGTGGCGATCGTTACCGTTTTTCAGGTGACGGCGTGTTGAGGATAGCTCGCAGAATTTCGGGCCTGTGGAATCAGTTCCTTCATACCATCTTCAGCTCCTCTTGTGTTGCGGGATCTGCCGGAGGTAATTGAAGAGGCTGTTGAGGCGGCGGGAACATCAAAGGCTGCTCAGCAGCCATTTTCTCGGCGACCTTTTGCTGTTCTGCCTTTTGCTGATTCTGTTGTGCTTGAAGTTTCTGGAGGTTCTCGTGATCCTCGACCTTTTGCTTTTGTTCCTCTGGGGAGAGGGAGTTGAAGGCGGCAATATCTTGATCCCACTTAATGACACACTCAATGTTCCAATTGCACCTCTCCACCTCGCCGAAAATAGGGTGCCTGAAGCGAGGGTGACGACTGGGCCAGTTTGACGCGTGGTAGTGGTGCTTGATGAGAGCACCTCTGGAGTTATGGTTCCCAGAATCGGAGTGTCCCTGGCCAGCGGCGAAGGACTCGACGTTGCGGACGAGAATATTGCTAACAACTTTTGACTCGTCGATGTCGTGGAATGTGTCCCAAGTAATCGGCCCGGATCGAGAACGCGCGCTCATGACATCCAGGACGGCTTTGGTGAATGCAGAAGGGCCAGTGCCGCTGATCACCTCGTCAAAATCAAGCTTGACTGCTGAGATGGGTACACGTTGGTTCTTAGCTACATCACTGAGCCACGCCATGATGTTTTCGACAAGCTTCAGCATAACAGGGTGACCGGGTCGCGACATAAATGTCCATTGACAGAAGGACATGGACTTCTTGCCGAGAATTGGGTGGTCTTTGAAGTTCGGTTGGTCAATCTCGACTCCAATCACAAGGTCCAGGTCGGCCTCGTTGTATCTTTCCGGGATCCATCGGCTGACAGGTCGGAGGTCCTCGACATCAATATCGGCGTAGACTCCTCCCTCGGCATACATGATCATGTAGCGGAGGAGGTCAGCCTTGATGATGGTGGCATTCACGTTGCGGTACATGTCGACGATGTCCGGGCGATCGAACCCGTCAGGGCCATAGTGTTCCTCAACGTACTCCATGTCGTTGTTGTCGGTGAGAACTTCGTACCGGTACCCGGGGTTCTTGTCCGTCCAAGTCCGCGCAGTGAGAATCTGCTCGGCCTCGAATGAGAAGGGTGCAACCTTCCAACTCTGCCATATCTTCTTGGGGAATCCACGAGTGCTTGCTTTTGAGTGACGGCCGCCACGCTTCGAGAGGTGTACAGGTTTGGGCATCGATCCGAACAAGTCGATGTTGAGAACGAGGAGGATTATGCAAACACAAGCGATATACAAGGGCAGACATCTCCTTAGTTGTGTTGGGACTCTGTTTCTAAACAAATTTGCCTTGGTCGAGCCCGTAGGGCTCAATGGACTCAATGGACTCATGATGGGTGAAGACATGTTGGCCGAAGTCGTCCAAAGAAGTGGAGGTGTTCGACCGAAGAAGCTTTTGAACCAAGCTTTGGGCAAAGATGCGACGAGCATAAGATGATAAGAACAAGGCGTGTGGGATGCATGTCGAAATTTGAGGAGATTTCTCCATGCAGGCACACAACCCCAGAGTATCCTCATCGCCGAGGCGGGGATTACCCTACAGTTGTTCCGACCAATTCCCCCACTCTCCTCGCCTATCAGTCGCACATCATTGTCACGAGCCGGGTGCCAGGGTAAAGAAGGAAACGCCGAGGTCGCCAAAGTAAAGTCGCATCGTGTTCATCCCGTCTGTGCCTTACTGACGCCACTGCCTTGCCTCAGTTATCTAATTAAGTTTTGGGACCTTCTGTGAGTGTGAGTGGCTGTCCTTGCTGTTCTTCGATACGAGCAAGGCTGGGACTGCAGCTCAACGGTTCCTTTTCTCATTCGTGCAGCCGGAAAGCGGCGAACAAGCCACCATCTTGCTTTACAAAGAGTCAGACAGCTGGAGGATCGAAGCCGTTCAGGCCAGCGGGGATGTGATGAGGACCACTCGTTGCGGCCGGCCGCATTTCGCGCCATAATAGCGCCGGGACGTTGAGCTTGTTTGAGTGTCTATTGGGCCGATCCTGGCAAACGGCACCAACGGCTACGATAGTCAGGGGAGGCAAAGGCGGTGGAACCTTCCCAATCAGGAGGGTTTGCAGGAGGAGAATGAAAATTTCACGAGGGGACTCTTACAATCTCAACTTCTCAACCGGCCGAGTGCGCGAGTCGGAGAAGCGGTTTGTGTGTCGGATGACAATCCCAAGCTAGGCCGACTGAATGCTACGCCGCTTGTGATAGCTGCCAGGGACGCCCGGTCTGATTGCAACCAACGAAGGTAAGAATGCGTCACGATGAGGGAGATGAGTGATATCGCCCCTACGCCGCTTAACTTTGATCAATTTGTTGTTGGACTTTGGAGTCTTAGCTTGGCTCTCCGCATTCTACCCCGGTCTATCCCCCGCATATTGGACCAGGAACCCCCGGAAGGATGGTGGACCTCTCATCCTGGACTTAACGAGCCACCCCGCATGATGTCTTGGCTCGACCGAGGAATCTTTGTTAGGTTCAGCTGGTTATTTCTCTTTTCCTGGCTTGTGAAACTCTGGACGAACGACTTGTTGACAGCAACGAAGTCTATGGGCCTTTGACTTTGCGCAGAGAAAGCAACGCAAGGTTCAGTCGATCAAAGATCAACGCCAAGCCGGACCAAACCCGCCCAAGGAGCAACCTCCTGGCTGACGACTGCCGACGAGCCCGTGCAGGATCTGTTGATACTGAAAAGAACCCGTGCCTCTTTTCCCAAATCATCAAAATTTCCGGAGAGGCAAGGGTCGAGAACACCTCCTGCAGCATCACGCAAGCGAGGACACCCAGCGTCCCTCCACGACCGTAAGCACGCAGCGGAGTCAGCTTGAGGCTGAAAAGATTCCTCTTTACACTACTCATTGTCTTCAACAAAGTCTTCAACAGCCCAAACATGTCTCCGCGAAACGAAGGTATTCTCGACAGTCATGAGTGGGATGAAGTCAAGCCTACCTGGTGCGACAAATCCAAATGGCTCGCAGAAGATAGCGACTGGAAACCTGCTTCCCTCATACGAACCAGGCGGCCATCTCGACTGAATATGTCCAGCTTGAGTTCCTTCTTCTGGCCCATCAAAGACACCAAGAATCCAGAGAAGCTGCGGCCCACGGCATACCTTGACGGCCTGCGCGGTTTCGCTGCCTTCTTAGTATACTGGCACCACAACCAACTATGGGCCCATGAGCCTCACGTCCAGAATAGAATTTTTGAAAACTCCTTTGGATACGAAAACAAATACCACTTCATCGCTTTCCCCGGCATCCGTCACTTGTTTACTGGAGGCCACTTCTCAGTATCAGTCTTCTTCATCATCTCCGGCTACGTTCTCTCCGCTAAACCTCTGAGCTTGATTCAGTCCGGAGATCACGGAAAACTCGCAGAAAATGTCGGCTCAGCATTATTCAGGCGATGGCTGAGACTTTATCTTCCACTGATGGCAACGACGTTTCTTTACATGACCTTCCTCCACATGTTCGATATCTGGGTCGACAATATCGAACGTGCGCCAACCTGGAGAGATGATGTCTGGCTCTACTATTGCGAGCTAAAGAACTTCAGCTTCGTCTTCACCACTGGAGGCGGCCCCTTCTTCAGCTGGAACCCACACCTTTGGTCCATCCCAGTTGAGATGAAGGGCTCGGTCATCATCTACACGTCGCTACTCGCATTCTCTCGATGTACCAGAAACGCCCGGCTCTGGTGCGAGGCTGGCCTGGCATTCTATTTCATGTACATTGCCGACGGGTGGTATGGAGCAATGTTCGTCATGGGCATGATGCTTTGCGACCTTGACCTTCTTGCGAAGAAGAACGACCTTCCCAACATCTTCAAGAGATTGGAACCCGCCAAAATCTTCATCTACTATCACCTTTTCGCCGTCTCGATGTATCTCGGCGGTGTCCCGTCTTACACCGGGGACGTCAAAAAGATGCGCGACAACCGCGGGTGGTACTATTTGTCCTTCCTCAAGCCGCAGGCCGTTTTCGACTACAAGTGGTTTTATCTCTTTTGGGCCGCCACCTTATTGGTGTCTGCGGTCCCCCGAATCTGGTGGCTGAAGAGATTCTTCGAGACTCGCTTCTGTCAGTATCTAGGACGAATTTCCTTCGCTCTCTACTTGGTTCACGGACCAGTTCTGGGGACTCTGGGCGATCGACTATACACAGCCGTTGGGTACCACAAAGAAACGGAGCGACAACATCTCGCGCACCTGGTCGATAGGTTCCCATTACCAAAGATTGGGCCCCTCGGCTTGGAACCTGCCTTCCTTATTCCTCATGTGATAATACTGCCTGTCACTCTTTGGATAGCTGAGATTGTCACGAGGTTCGTTGACGAGCCTAGTGTTAGAATCGCTCAATGGCTCTACAGAAAAACCTTGCCCACAGCGCCAACAAAGATTTGAGATAGGCTGAGAGGGATTTGGCGTTCAGGCACATGTATTTCGGGACTGCCGAGACATTTATGGCATCTAGTACGACGTAATGATTAGTGTAAACCACTTGTAATTGATCAATTGACAACACTGTTCCATCGCACAAGACTAGACCAAGACGCTCAGACAGACCACGCTCTCAATGTCACGATGCAATCGGATTGGCTGCCACCCAGAGCCATGGACCTGAGCCATTTCTAGTTGAACTCTAGAGCGTGTCCAATATGCAGCGACGATGGACTTGCCACGCGGGCCGCCAGGCTGAGCCCGGTGCTGACGGGACTGAGTCCGCCACGCGCTGTCTAGTTGACTCAGCCTGCAGCGGGCAAAATTGGAGGGGTGGAGGGTTGCCCATTCCGCCCGAACTTCAATTTCTCGTGTGTCTGCTCTTCCTATCGACTTGCAGCTATAACACACCCAATGACGCTGCAAGGGCGGATGCTTTCCCCGAAATGGAAGTGGTGTGGGAGCTCGTGAGGGGAATAGGATTGCAACTCAGGCCAGGGGTTCGCGCAACTCACCGAGGCAATTCACATGCTCACATGCTTAATGGAGCGAGATTGCAGCCTACCACTCTGCTCGAGGAGCTAATCTTTGATCACACTCGAGAGTTTATCTCAGGAACACTCCATCAATAAGCTATGTGCGTGCATCCTACTTTACCTGACCCTTCACACTAAAAATGTGGGTGGCTGGGGTTGACTAGCAATAGTCGGCCGCGCTTCACAACTTGTAAGTGAGGGGAAGCTGGACGCTCCAACTTCCATGGTCGTATTTACTTGCTCGTCCGTCGATCCCCATCACGCGGCATACATCTCCCGAAAGCTTCCCCGTATTTCCACTCTAAGCTTCAAGTCGACAGCCTTGCATCCCAGGTCCCCCACATCCCTTTGTACTGCTCTCTGTGATGCAATCGTGATCCTGGAGCTCGGCCAGCACATGTTGTGGAGCAACTTCACGCCCCCAAAGTCCCAGACCTGCTCTTTCACGTATCCTCACTATCGAGTTCAAGCACGGAGAGTCTCCCTACGCAGTCACCGCAAGGTCATCAGTCAATAGGACTAGCTTGATCACTTGAATCTGCATGCTGCGACCCAATTCCGACGTGCCGCCCGTTCCAGTCGCCTGTGTCTCGACACCTCGGCGCATGCGGACTGCCCTCCCACCTCGCGATGATAGCTAGGGACTTCAAGCGCGTCATCCTCATTGTAGGCCCCTTCTTGTTTCTCGTCTATGTCGGTATACGGTGTCTCGACTTCAGAGACTCTGCTTCGGGGTTCAATACCTGGTTCGATCACATCTTCGCGCCCAACTGGAGACAAGACGATGAGCTGAAGCCGCACTACCGGCCAGCTCCTTCGGCTGCGCCGACGGAGGTTATACAACCTGTAGAAGGTGTGCCTGAGCATCTGCCCACATCGAAACAAACACATCACGAGATCTTCTCGACGTCGACGTTCAACAAGAAGTTCTTTGCCATACGATTCGGCGATGAAGCGGCTATCAATCCCAACATTATTCCACATCCCACCATTGAAGGCACCTTTGTGATTGTAGCGCAAAAGCAGAAGACAAACCATGACGACTCTGAGCACGTGGAACTCGTTTGCAATGCCACCTTCACGCTGGAAGGTCTCGTCTGCGTTGACGCGCCCACGGTTCTGCCTATCGCAGCCACCAAGAGTGGCGATGACAAGTGCCCACCAAAATTGGCCTACATCGCTATGAACGTTGGGCCCCACGATGCGAGGGTCTTGTACGGACCCAAAGCACCCTTCATCGTATTCGGTTCCAACTCAATATTCGCCTGCTTCGGACAGTTCATGCAGGACTTCCGCACGCTCGGGGACTGGGGCTTCGAGATGTCGTTGGACCAAGGGTTCGGACTCGGAACGGAGCTTCAACGTCCTCCGCCTTGGGGTACGATGGAAAAGAACTGGTTTCCGTTCTGGGATGAAGAGGGCGCAGTCTACGTCCACCATGACGTGGCGCCGAAGCGCGTCTTTGCAAAGTTGAACACGGACGGCTCCGTGGGGCCGGATCTTGCGCCGTTGGCTGCCGGTGACGAGGCTTGCATGAGCAAATACATGCCGAAGCTGCCGCCAGATCTCGAATCGATACATCAAGCGACGAACTCGCTGAGCATCACGTTTTGCAAGCGCAGCAATCCAACTTGTAGTGCCACTAGTGACAACACCTTTCTCTTTACGGTGTTTCAACACAAAACCTTTTATCAATTCCATAGCGAGTACGAACCGTACGTAATGGTGTTCCGACAGAAGGCGCCGTTTGAGGTGTTCGCCATGTCAAAGCGACCGATATGGATACACGGCCGAGAGGAAAGACTTGATGGAGGGTCCGACATGTTTTATGTAACTTCCATGAGCTGGAAGAGACAAGATCAGAGGTATCACGGTTTCTTGGACGATGTACTATTCCTCTCATTTGGTATAGAAGATCAGAGGGCGGGCGCCATTGATGTCCTGGCCGAGGACCTATTGGCTGAACTGGGGACTTGTTTGTCAGCGTGATGAATTTGATACATTTTTAGCACAGCGATTGATTAATGCGACATCCCGATGTGAAGTAGGAACAAGATACTACATCCGCACTTTACAGGTTTTGATATTACATTTTGATTTACTTGAACAAAATAGTGGCTGGTGTGTTCATTCGGACAGCATAAAACGGTGATCGAAGGAAATATACCAACTGTAGGCATGCCGTAGGAAAGCCTTTTAACTAAGGGTGGCAAATTGCATTTAGACAATCATGGGTCCGTCCCGGCTTTGTCTCACTTGAATTCCCTCCCGAAATCAGCCAACGGTTGAGTCCCTTCATAGCGTTGCCTCGTGCGACAATGAATCCGGGAATGCCCACTCACAAAGGTCTGCAGCCGGCCCCCAACATTCCACATCTTTCATCAGACAACGGACTTCAGGCAAAACCATGACAAGGACCCCGTCCATCACGGCCGCCTTGAAGACAGTAGCTCTCCATGCAACTGATCAGGAGGCCGTGTTGGGTCGGTATCCCAAGCTTCTCCTCTAAACCCATGAAGCCGCGACTGCTTGAGCTGGAGACAAACGATGTCTAATCGGCCGAGATGGAGTTGACGCCTTGAGACTTCCGTGTTCCGACCCGGCGCCACTCAGAGTCCAGTCTGGATACGGCAGCAAGACCACCCGTTCCGCAAACGGAAGCATCTCATAACATCATTGGTCTTAGTCTCTGCCACATCCAGCCGCCCCATCATATTCCTAGACTAACCCCAATCCATTCAACAACGACAATGCAATGACAAGCCACGAGGGCGTCATTGTAAGCCATCTAAATGTCAATCCAGACCGGAAGCGGCACTTTGCCCCAGAAATTTGTCAACCATTGTTAGGCGTCAGAAATCTGGCGTTTCTGCAGAAGCCATTTCTCGCCTGTCTTCGCCTTATAAGTGGAATGTGCCCCCTGTAAACGTCCACGTGCATCTTCATCCGGATTTCCACCACATGATTGAGTTTATGCCAAGCTCGGCGAGATCCCCCGACGCCGTGAGCACCGTTTCCGAGCACCCCCTGCGAATATATATACCCAACACATAGTGACCCAGCGCGCCCCCTTCGCGCGGAAGCCCTAGGATGTACAACCCAAACGTCAGAATGATTAGCCCCGATCATTCCCTCACGTTCACGAACTTAGCGTCGAAGACTTTCGAGCTCACGCAACACAATGTGCCGACGTCTCCCGATATACGGATGATCCAGGACATTAGTCAAGCCACTTTGACGCCCAAAAATGGAGAATCACTGATGATGTGGACAAAAGGGTGTTACTTTGGCAAGAGCGGGTTCGACGATGTCATGCTCTGCTGGCAAGAGCTGGAAGCCCTGACTTCTTTCTGTATCGGCGTCGAGTCTCCCGAGCGCGGCTTTTTCAAGCCTATTCAGTCTCACTGGAAAGTGAAGTACAACGACGGCAATACGATCAAGGATTGGTTCTTCCCTTCCGAAAATCCATCAGATCCGTACACATTCCCGAGCACAATGGATGTTGATATTTCCATTACGAGTCACTCGGTGAAGGACCAGTTAGAGCTCAAAATCACGATCAAGGACAAGGCACCAAGTGCTGAGCTCAAACCATAGGAGTTTGTAAGTAATACCGTAAATAGTGCTTCCTACCACAGTCCAAGCTACAGCGCTAACAATCAGCTAGGCGAAACGGTTACGAACTACAGCACGTCGATCCTCAAGTAGGCATCCATCCGTACGGCTTTGCAGGATACGACAACCAGGCATCAAGCAAGATGGTACGGGAGATGCGCAGAGATGGGGGATGACTCAATACCAGCGTTATTTGCAAAAAGTATTTTGGGAGGCGATTTGTTTACATGCGATGCTTCGTACCTTGTGTTTCTATTAGTTCGTGAATTTGTTCAGTGTATTAGTCTACTAAGCTCTGTAGAACCAGTCTCGCGAATAGCACACTTTGGAGTTTCAAGGTATACTTGTTAATTCTCACCTCGCACATCTACTTCTTTCTAGCCCTAGCATCCAGGGCCCAGCTATCACCGCTTACTATCGACGTGAAATGGATGATTTCTTGACGTTTCACTGGAGTTCTGATCTAATTTTTGACTGCAGGTCCGGCCCTCCAACTACCTCACTTAGCTTGAATTACGTTGTCCTAATTTTCGCTTGTCAATATATGAGGTAGGATATCTCGCTCACATGTAGAAAAGTCTGGCTATTACTTCTATGTGTAGTGACACTTAATCATATCAATATTCGCCTCACTCTTCTCACAAGCCTCTTTTTTTCATAACAGAGTCTGAGTCACAGACACACAAACACAAGGCGTTTCATCTACTTCCTCACAGTTCTACTCTTGCCGAGATTCGGTCCGTATTGTTCTCTGGGACTTTTGACAAGGGGCATTCGTGCACTCCAGGAGTCAGGAATGATGGGTACTTATCACGGGATGGCAGTTGATGCAGGTCAAGGTGCGATCAACTTTCTCCGTAGGACTTGACAATGAAGGATAGATATCAGGCAACCACAATACTCCCCTTGAAAGCTATTCGCGCTACCTTACACTGAAGCTTCTCAAGTTTATTCCTATCGGAGCTGTGGGACCCTCATAGGGCCAAGCTATTGCCTAGTTGAGAATCGCAAGTTCGCTACGGAGTACATGGAGGAAGCATTTCGAATCGGTCGTCTGTTTTGTAAAACCATATGGCCCATGTAATGTATTTCTCAAAATTCCTCAACTATCCCATCGCCGTCACTCCATCGAACTCAAAGTCACTACCCTATTTCCACGTGTCCGGCTTGTATCTCTCCGACAGCCATCACCCTTGCAGTCAATCAATCCTTGGTCTTCCTTCTAATCCGAAGCCTGACCCCATTTGGTGGAAACAATGCCTCTGTCAACCAGTAATTCTGCGGCCGCTTGCCATTGTATTCAGCCGGGAACTCCACATCGTAATGACCCAGCACGTAGGCGATAATCATCTTCAACTCAAAATCAATCAAAAATCGACCGGGACACGCGTGCTTTCCATGTCCGAAAGGCAGATATTCGGGGCTCGTGGTGACAAAGCTGACTGGGGGCGCCTTCTCGTCCTTTGCGGCCGCATCCTCACGCATGCGGGCGAAGCGGAAGGGGTCGTATTTCAGCGGGTCTTCTAGAACCTCGCCATCTGTCTGAGCAGGTTGTCCAAGGAAAGAGATCAGGGTCCCCTTGGGGAGATGGTATCCGTCGGGGGTCTTGAAGCCGTCCACCAAGACTTTCCGGAAGACGGCACGGCCGCCGAAGGAATTCAGGCGCAAGGTCTCTCGGGCGACGCTGTCGGCTTTAACCATCTTGCTGACTTTGGCTTTTGTCCAGTTGTTGTCTCCATCGGCGTACAGTACGCGATCAACCTCGTCTTTAAGAGTTGCAATCGTGTTGAATTCTGTGTCTGAGCCCAAAATGTTGAGAAGCATGTTGGTGGCTTGAATACTGGTCTGATGCATGGATCCAAAGTTGGCTGCGATCAGTCGGCGCGTCATCATGTCCAAATCGTTGAACTCTTCTGGTCGGTGGTCCTTGGCGTAACGAGCCATCATCTGCAAATGATCTTGAGGCTCGATGTGGTTCGGATCGTTGCGTTGGTACTTCAGGGTTTCGACACGCTCTTTCCAGAGAGGCTCAAACATCTTCTTTAGTCTGTTGATCTTGCCGTGTATCGTGAAATTGACTGCCCTGCCGACTATAGGTCGAAGAACTCGAGGGCTGGCTCCGGATGCGCCGGCGTTCATGATGAGCTGGTTGATGATATCGAAGTTGAGGTTGAGGTAGTCCTCATCTCGGCCTACTTTCTGTCAGTTTGATGTCTATGCAGTCGTCTCGCTGGAAGATACTCACAAAGACCCTGGCCCGGACCGATGGTGAAGCGACTAGCTGCCTGCGCAACAACCATCTTCAACGACTCAAAAAGGTCAATTTCTTTCCATTCCGGGTCCGTTCCAAACCACTTGTCAAAGGCAACGCCGAGCTCTTCGTTCATGGCAGCGCAGATGTTCTCCAGCACTGCATTCATCTCGGTCTTGACTAGGAGTCCTTGCCACGCATCCACGACATATCGGTCGTGGCCAAGAGCCCAGTGAACCTGATCGACTTCTGCAAAAGCGGTGCTAGGGTCCAGCTCGGACTCTGGCTGCGTCTGAACCCATCGCATCGAGCTCGTGGGCATGATGATCTCATGGCGAAAACCGATGCCTGGGATGATTACTGGCTTTCCTTTTTTTGCGTACTGGGTCCAAAGTTAGCGAATGGGGGCAGAGACAAGTGCCAAGAATCGGCTCACGTTATCGTAGGCCTCACGGAAAAGACCCTGACAATCGGTGTAGAACCGCAGATACGTGCGGATGCTGAATCGTGTGGCACCATCAGGCTCGCCAATGAGCGGGATGCCCTTGGGGTACGGGATGCTGAAGAATGCTCTGCTGATAATGTACAACAGAGCCACGGACCCGAGCGCGAGCAGGCCGATGCCTGACAAGCTGGCAACTGGAGGGAGAAGCTGCGATATGGGCGCCATCTTGGGCCGTGGAGTGAGACAATGTCGCTGTCGTGATGATTTGAGCAAGAGAGATGTGAAATGTAGTTCACCACATGTTTGTGGAAATCTGGGCGAAACGTGTGAGCTTTAAAGGGGTCCCTAATTGCTGACATATTCCATCCCATCTGCTCGCTAGCCAAGGTAAATCAGACTGGTTGGAGCTGTAGAGTTGGGGAGGTGGGCCTCACAGGGAAGCCAAACAGGGATGATGGTCCTCTTAGCGCGCCCGTTACCACGTAGTCATTGGGGGTAATTTGGATGCCTGGACTTCATAGGGCTGTCTCGGATCCAATGGGGGCTATCTTTTGCACTTTGCTGCTATGAGCCTCTCTTTGTCGTATCGCATCAGAACATGTCCGGAGACGCTCAGTATGATAATATTATTACTGCAGTGACTCCAACAGAATGGATCCTTAGTATACCTACTTATGTCAGAAGGTTGGTGGATTCTTGAGTTCAAGTCTCAGAACACATGCAGCGCACATGTTTGCGTTACACATTCCTCAACCAACTTCACTCAGTCGCCCTTCTCATTTCTTGATCAAAACTAGCAAATACCTCTTCTACTCGCACTTTTGAGTCAATATCTGTCTCGTATTTGCCTATCCTTATCCCGTCAGAGCCTGCCTAGACCCCGATCCTTAGCGCGATGTCAGCTCACGGAGTTCCCACTCCGCACTCTAGCGCGTGTAAGCAGCCACTCCACCGTAAAAGGAAATCCGCTTTTTGTGACTTATCATTGGGCAAAGACAATCTTCTACTGATTGGTTCCATCGGAAAAACGTCGATTTCCAAATTGTCGGGTTGCCATTGTCAAAAACACCAGGGGTAATGCAACCCTGCATCTGACATGCAGCTATTGGGTGACGCAGCATCATGGGAGGCCAAAAACCATCAAAAGCCTCATTTTCAACCACACCGACAAGTCCACCAGCAAAAGATGGACGATCTGGGAATCGAACCCAGGACCTACCGCATGCTAAGCGGTCATTATACCACTAAACCAATCGCCCAACTATGATCTAGCCCGGACTTGAACCGGAGACCTTCAGTGGAACAGGGGGAGATTCGGTGAGAGATCTCGGACTGTTAGACTGACGTGATAACCAACTACACCACCAGACCACCTTGTGATGGTCAGGTTGCGGGGTGGGTAGCTTCATGTGTGGCTCCCACGTTCCCGATGCAGAATTTCGTGAGGCGAAGATGATGGTTGGGCACGAGCTGTGGAGAGCACTATGACTAAGTCCATGAGACCTAGGCGAGGGTTCACTTTCGTACGTGGACTGAGTCGAGGCCCATACCGAAGATTTCTCTGGGAAAACATCCAAGTGATCCTGACACAGTCTAAGCAAGAAGAGACCCCGTATGCCCGTGGATACAGCTGAAGATGTAATTTCGTTCACATCATCACGTGGGCAACAAGCATACCAAGCGGCTCATAGTCTAGTCCACTTCATTCGAATACTGATATGGAAGAACGCTATGCTATGAATAAAAGAAAGCAAGCACTATAATCACGCCTTCAAGCTATCGCAAGGGATGTTAGAGGGCACCCCGGTCGGGTTAACAAAGTAGTCGTGGTACCAGTACACCTGCTGCTCAGGCTTGGTGGACAGATTCGGCGCCTCATCGACACCCTGAGCCGTCTTGAGAACAGTGTACTGCGTCTTGTAGCTAAAAGTCAAACTAGTCAGAAAAGTCTCCCTCTTGTTCATCCCTCAGTCGAACGTCATTAAGAACTTACTAAATCTGCGAGCAGTTGCCTGCCTTGAAGTTATTCTCAATGCGCCCGTGAGCCTCGTATACAGTCGCCGTCGCATTATTGTCTGCGATGAACGTTGTGTTGGGGAAGTGCTATCCCCACCCCGTCAGCCACGATGGAGAAGAAAGAGGAAAGAATCACTTGAAATACACGTGGGTTATTTTCACAGTGGATAGATAGGGCTTCACATACAGTAAGAGACATGCTGCCATCAGTAGGCAAAAACCGCTGCTTGCACTTGGTAATGGCATCCGCGCCGACGCAGTGGATGCTCAGCGTCGTCTGCATGCCGTCCGCGGTGAAGAAGTCGGTGTACGCCGTGGTGGCGGTGGGATCTTCTGCGGGAGTGACGAGGCTAGACAGCACAGATGTCAATACATGGTTTCTTCAAAGTTGAACGAAGGGGGCTTTGTAGTCCTAGGAGATTGTGCGTGCAACATACGCATTGAGAAAGGCCTTGAACTCGGCTTGCACGCCGGGTTGGGGGTCGTAATCTGTGAAGTCAATCGCCGCGACGAAACGAGCGACGAGGAGGGCGGGAAGGGCAAAGTTGAGCTGCATCTTGGGATTAAAAGGTGGAAACGATTTCCGAAAAGAGTGACTTTTGTGAGCGCGCTTTGAATTGAGCGGTGATGCTTGACGTTGGTTGATAGTGAGTGAGGCTCTCGTGAAATGGGGCCGGTGGGATTTTATAGACAATTGAAAGCAAATCGGTAGTCCAGTGGTGGTAGGCAAGTCAGTCAACACAGGGCTGTGTCTACTATCAGCGTTTCGCACATAAGGTATTCATGCAAAGAAACTATTGTGGAAACCATATAATCATAATAGCACAAGCGCCCAGCCTCCTAAGTACGGCGAAAGCGAGAGGCTCTTTGAGTGGGCAATATGCCAAACACTGCACTTTTTGCGGCCGGTTCACCCCTTATTTCGGCCCAAGTTGACCGGTCCGTCCTGAAACCTTAATAAACGACCATCTGCAGATGTTGCGGGATCCATAAGGCATCTACCAGACTGATCACCCACACAAAAGTCCCCCCAGATATACGGGAAAAGGCTGGGCCCGAGCTAGGGTACACCCTGCCGGACATGGGATGAAGGTTTCCCAGGGCCTCCCGTTCCCGCAGAGCGCCGCGCCGCCCGCCCCTTTTTCTTTTCTTCGGAGCATCCGGCTGGGCCGGTGCCGCTGACTGGGGAGAACTGAGCGACTGTGAAGAGCTCCATGTCAGGAGCGGGTCGTGGACCGGACTCGACGTGAACGAACGCGGGGTCTTTAAAGGGCAGGGTAAATGTCTTGAAAGTCACGAGCTTCAGCATCCATTTCCCTCTCGAGACTCCATACCTTTTGAATCTCTCTCTACAGCCCACCCAGTCTTTACCGCAACGCAAACGCCAGCAACATATCACCAAAAATGAAGCCCTCGACAACCCTCCTCCCCCTCGCCGCAAGCCTCGTAGCCGCAGTCGACATGGCGCCCTACAGACCCTCCCCCGGCGTCGACGTCGCATTTGCCGATTTTGTCTCGGAATACTACCTCACCTCGGAAGACAAAGCCGCCACCACAACCTTCACAAACTTTTGGCCCGCGGACGGTAAGATGATCCTCGCGGGGCGGACGTTTGAGGGGTCCACGGCCATGCTGGGCGTTAAGCAGTCGCTTCTCCCGCCAACCGGGAATAAGTCGTGGTGGCATCTGATCCGCGGGGCGACGGTGGGCGGGGAGACGGAGACGGATAAGACTTTTGTGGCGGAGATTGTGGTGCAGACGACGTATGTTGGGGGGAACTGTTCCCAGGCGTAGTAAGTTCTTTTTCTTTTTTCTTTTGGCTGATCTTGCATTATTTCGAGTTCAGTCTTTTGGATAAAGGTACTGACGATTGTGGTAGTGGGAGCGCGGCGTTTACTGTCCTCAAGGATGCTCAGGGTACCCCTAGATTGGAGCCGCATTCGGAGAGCTTGAGTATCTATAACCTCACTGTCTCGACGACGGATTCGCCCACGGATATCCCGTGCAGCAGTTCTTGAATGAACAAGCAAAGAAAATGATCTAGCGTAGTTTAAGACGAAATGGATTCACGATGTAGAGACCCAAATTACTGAAGTTGAACAAAATTCTGTTTCGTTCATCGCACTAGATACAGTACGACCTGTATCTCCAAGCAACAAAAACATGTTCTATCGTATCATATCGTAACCAATAATGCAAGTATCGCTCTCTAAATGCCGTAATGACAGGTTTTGCCCCTCCGTCCCAGTGTGCCGAACCATTCCACACGTGAATTTTGGTGCCCCGAGCCCCAGTAACGCCGCTCAAAAAAAAAAACAAGATTGGTCTTTGGTGTATGTTGGAATACCCGCCGCCAGTGTTATATACGTTCGCAATATAGAATCCGGTCGTAGAATCGTGCCAAGGAAATAAAAAACAAAAACAATGAGCGCACTAAATGGTATCGTAGCTGGTAACATGTAACAGAGAAATGGAAGTATATGCAAAATAATAGTCCGAGGAAGGCTAGTCATGAACGACAGTGACAGATCACTGAGCCTTCTCAACGTCTCTGGTGTTTGTGTTCTCCTCAGGTTGGGTGGAGATAACAATCTCGGGCGCAGCAACCTTGGCATCGTCTGAGCCCGAGGAAACACCAGCATCCACGGACGCAGCGTCGGCCTCGGTAGTCTTCTTGCGGCGGAAAGCGGCGCCAATGGTGGTGAAGAACCTGCCAAGGGCGCGGTACACAATGACGACGGGTCTGCCCACCGTCTTCGCAATCTTCTCGAACCAGGGGTCGGGGAAGAGGCGGATGAGGACGGCCATGGGGAGGGAGACGGAGGCAAGGACGACGGAGACGGCCCAGTGCTCGCCGCTGATGCCGCCGGGTGTGATGCGGAAGGCCTTGCCGCCGACAAAGATGATAGCGACCTGGGCGCCAACCATGATGCAGTTGATGACGATGAAGAAGTAGTTGCGGTGCACGCCCTCGAAGATGTTGAACTTATTGTCCAGGCGACGGTTGTTGAACTCATTGAAGATTTGCATCCACACAAAGGTGTTGAAGATCATGGAGTCGAGCTCGAGCTGCTGATCCTCGTTGTGGGCGTCGTAGCCGAAGATGGCATTGCCGGCGAAGTGGAGAATCAGGGTCGCGGTCAGCTGGAAGATGGCCTGGCCGATGATCATCTTCCACATGTTGATTGTGATGAGGGGCGCCTTCTTGCCCTGCGGCAGGCGATCGAGGATCTTCTCGGTCGGGGGGTCCGTGGCGAGCGCCAGGGCGGCGAAAGTGTCCATGATGAGGTTGACCCACAATAGCTGGACGGCGGTGAGGACAGATTCCATGTTGGGGTCGGAGACGGCGGTGATGAAGGCGAGGAGAACAGCAGTGATGTTGACCGTGATTTGGAACTAGGCACATTCATGTTAGCTTCAAATGGTCAAAGAGAGTGCGTAGGTCTACATACCTGGAGGAACTTTTGCACGGCGTCGTTCACTGCTCTTCCCCACTTCAGGGCCGTAACAATCGAGGTGAAATTGTCATCCATCAAGACGATGGAAGAGGCCTCCTTGGCGACCTCAGTGCCGGAAATACCCATAGAGAAACCGACGTCAGCAGCCTTAAGCGCAGGCGCATCATTGGTGCCATCGCCAGTAACAGCAACGGTTTCACCAAGGGCCTTGAGGCGGGTGACCAAGACGCGCTTATCCTCTGGCGAAGAGCGCGCAAGGACTTGTAGACGAGGCAGCATCTCATTCATCTGCTCGACAGAAAGCTTCCTGAAGACGGGACCTTCCATAATGAGACCGCCCTCGGTGTGGATGCCGCACTCGGTAGCAATGGCCTGGGCAGTGACAGCGTTGTCACCAGTAACCATGCGAACGACAACACCAGCATGCTTGGCCTTGCGAACAGCTTCGGGAACACCGGGGCGGACAGGGTCCTGAATACCGACGACACCAGCGAAGACAAGGTCATGGAGGACATCTCCGAGATCGACATGTCCCTCGATGGTTGCGTTGACGCCGTGGGGGGGCCATTGAGGGAAGTCTTGGTAGATGAGAGCGATGGTGCGGAGGGACTGCTTGGCGTAGGCGTCAATAGTCGCCTCGAGGTTGAGGCGATCGGATTGTTCGAGAGTCGAGATGGAGAGATCGTTGACGTTGACCTGTTGGCTACAGTATCCGAGCAGAATCTCAGAAGCACCCTTCACCACAAGGCGGTAACCATCGTTGCTGGGAAGCTTGATGACAGCACCCATGCACTTCT